GGGCCTTCGGTAGCAACGGTCTGGTTGTCGTGTAGTTGTTTAAGGACATCAGAGATGTCGTATTGGTCCGAGGACTTGCGGAGCGTCCGAATAATGAATGACGCCAAAAGCGCTTCCTGTCGCGTCCTGAAAATTTCAATCACAAGAGGGCGGCCAGCCGCCAGCAGGCGGACGATCCATGCTTGCCCCGCATTCGGGGTAAGCGACACAACAGGTACGAGATGAATAGGCATTTCGGCGATGCCGAGACGCCGGGTAAAGGCAGTGTCTACGACATTGCGCGGTAAAGGGAAACCGCGGTCTGGGTTCGCGTCAAGGAAGAGGTCGGTGGTTTCCCAGTTGGCGCCGAGCGGATAGATGTCTTCGTAGCGTTCCTGAAGTAGGCGGTGGTCTCGAGCGGAAGGAGGATCGCGGCGATCACGGCGAGGTTCACGTCGAGCTGGAGGTGCACCGGAGGAAGAATAGTGGGATGGATCATCATGAGGTGGAGGAGTGGAGTGCACCCGGCTGTCAGAGTGTGGTGCCCGTCGGTCAGAGTCGGAAGGAGGAGGATGTCGTCGAGACGATGGCCGTGGTGAAGAATAGTGTAGCCGACGTCGTGGGGGAGAATCAGCATCAGGATCTCGATGTCGATGTTGTCTGATCGAAGTGCCACGGTGGCGGTGGCGGTGATGTTCCGGCGTGTTGGACACCGGGGTTCGGCTGCGATGTCGTCGGGACCGAGGAGGAGACGTACGGCTGTGTGCGCGATTGTCCCGGAAGGACCCCGACCTGGGAGGTTGCGTCGTAATGTTCCGCTGGGACGAATAGGGATCGTGTCGAGAAGGTTCATCACGTCCATGTAGACGATGTCGTCGGGAAGGTGGAGTGCGAGAGCGGTGTGGAGGCATAAGGAGGAGGAAGAATGGGAGGAGGCGTGAGGAAGCAGGCGAAAGGAGCCAAAATAAAAACGGCTGCGGGAAGTGAGCTCGCTTAAGAACTGCTGCAGTAGCAAATAGTCCTCTTTGTCCAGGTCCTGAGCGCGCATCATGAGAAACGTCCGAGCCGGATCAGAGGTAACTCCTGGTAGCTGGAGGGAATGAAGACCCAATGCTGAATTCCACGGTGTAACGCCATACCGCGGACTTGTTGTGGACAAAACGGATGGAAGATGGACAGGCACGGTCGAGAAGAATGTGACCGTGGAAGATCGGGTGTGCGTTCCACGTAGAAGGCATATTGAAGTCCACGATCACGAAGAAGGGCTCGTACGGCGTAGTATGTTCGCGAGCAGGTCACCATCAAAGAAGCACCGACACCGGGATGAAATGTGATCTCGGCGAGGGCATAGTGAAGGTGATAGTCGCGTTCCGTCCGGAACGCAAGGGCCTGGCCATGTAGTTCAGCAATAGGAAAGAGGCACCTTAACGTGGAGTCCGGAGCGGGTGTACGGTCAGAAGCAGTGTCCATCATCGAGTCCGGAGGGACGAGAGCGGTACGTAGACGAAGTTCCAAGAGTGGTAAGAACACCCGGAAGAGAATGAAAGGATCAGTCAATACGTCCAAGTACTCCAGGACAGTTGCCGAAGTGGATGACGACAAGGTCGAGCAGGAAGAGGAGGCAGAAGATGAAAAGGGAGCAGAGCGTCGGAAAGGCATGTATGGTACCAGGGAAGGGCAAGACTGTGGAGTGATGTAGAAAATGGCTGCGGAACATCCAAAAAGGAGGAGCAGAGTCGGCGAGGGCACATGTTTTGTTCAGGCCCGAGCGACGGAGTAGAGAGTCAGGGGTGGGCGCTGCTGGTCTCCGCTCAGATCCCGTCGGTGTCGATCGCGGTCTCGATCGCGATGGGGAACATCACGCGCACCTCGAGAGCGGTCAGGATCCTCACGATCATCACGGTCTCGGTCAGCACGGTCGCGGCGGCGACGCCGACTGCGGGATCGGCCGGTTGTCGCCGTTGTGGTCCGTGGAGGAGGAAGTTGCGGTCGGGCTTTGACCGGTACATAAGTCAAAGTGCCATCAGCATCGACCTTAGGTGCAAGAGGTCGTCCAGTGTGCTTGGAGACAGCCGGAGGTGGAACTGTGTGGCCGATCGGGATGGCATCAGAATGTCCCGGGGTTGATGGCATCGGAGGAGAAGAAGGTCCAGCAGGTAGCGGGTCAGGAGGAAGTGGGGATACCGAGCGACGTCGTCGGCGATGACGATCACGATCGCGGTCTTCAGCGCGAGAACGTTCTTCATCTCGAGGGCGGCCGCGATCTCGTCTCCGAAGTCGTGGCAGGGTCTGGCGCTGGGAGGGATCCACATGAGGAGGAATCGGTGGTGGTCCCATGGGGGCCGGAGGGGCCACACTGCCGTCTGGAAGTACTTGAGGTCCAGGAGAGTCGTAGGCGGCTTGACCAGAATAAGGGCCTGGGTCACTGGAGGTGAGCGGCGCTGTGGCAGGTGGGGGAGCATCGGGAGGCGGTGGAGTAGATGTCGTAGCCACCGGTGTCACAGGGGTCAACGTCGGTCGATTCTGATGGGCTCGTAGTAATACATCACGTACTTGGAGCAGTTGGTGGTCGGACAACGACTCGAAAAACACCAAGAACAACTGCAAATATTCAGAAGTGAAGGCGGAGGAGGCCATGATGTGCTAGGAAGGTTTCAGCAAAACGGCTGCGGGATGAAGAGGAATAAGGCTGCAACAACAAAGAGACCAGCCATGCCACACCGCAAATCACGCACACCTTTTGTGGGTCCTCTCACATGAACACGGCAATGCCTTCTGGTTGTGCAAGCGTGGAGTGCACGCCCCAACGGTTGTCGTTGCCGTGCAGGATGGAGACGAAGTAGTTCGCCGCGTTTTCGGGGACGGTGCCCCCACTGTCGCTCTTCAGGTGATAGGCCGCGGGAGTGTTGGGGAGCACTGAAGACGGTGTATCGGTAGGCGCGGCATTGGCTATGTCGAGATAGCAAATGGGGATTCGGCCATATACACAAATCGGACGGGGAGAACCCCATCCTCCGAACTTGGCTGCAGCCCGTAAGGCTCCGCTGAGACTGTGGACGGAAGCGCGAGAGTAAAAAGCAGGACTCGGCAGCCAAGAAGCGTCAAGGGGGTCGAAGTTGCTGGGGCGGATGCAGCCTTCTTTTAGGATGCCAAAAGCCGCCTGAAGGTCCGTGTTGTGACCGAAATACGCGACTGCAGGTGCCCCGCTAACACGCTGTGCTGCTGCCGGGAAGGGGAGCGAAACTATCAGCATCGGTCTGCCTGCTTGGTCTGGTTGATGTTGGGGAGCCTCGACGTGTGTAAACTTGAACTGAACACTGTGAGGATGGTATCCAGCATGTACCAGCAGATGCATCACTGTAAGTATCGGATCAGCTAGAGTGAAAGGCACATCAACTTGGCGTCCCTCCAAGAGTAACTCCCGTTGACATTGTCGACGATGAGGGAGCGCTTTGAAGTAGGACCTGTATTGCAGCAATGCAGTATATACTCGGTCCCAGTGTACCGCCTTGAGGGAGCCCAGTCGTGTAGAGTAATCGGATTGCAGGTAGGTATCAAGTTGGCCTGCCGTGGCCAAACACTGGCGTAAGGTTGCCAACGTGCAAGCGGAGCTGAAGGGAGCTGCTGAGGTCGAAGATGCTGTAGGTGGCGAGGTCGAGGATGCCGTAGGGGTGGTAGACGGGTCCGGCGGTGAGGTAGAGACATAGGCAGCAGGCACTGACTGGTCGTTGTTGGAGGAAGACGGGGTTGAGCCAGTGGGAAGTAAACCAGGCCAAAACGGGCTCGGAGGAAGAGGAGAAAGATCAGGGAGAGTGCTTGGAGCTGCCATATCAATAGGTCGTGGAGGCTGTAAAGGGGCAGCGATTCGGCCAGTCAAAGTAGAACGTTGAGGTGCCGCAGTCCGGGTCGTAGGTGCCGCCGGCGTTGACGACGAAGAGGAAGAGGAAGACGATGAGGACGCAGACCTCGGGCGTCGCCGAGATCGTGATCGAGAGGGTGCAGTCGTCCAGAGTCCAGGTGCACAGGATGGACGGGGACGAGGAGGCATGGCGAATGCAGACAAGCAATGCACAGCCTACAACAACAACTACTACAGGGAAAAGCCACTAGAACGTTACGGCCAAAACTCTTCCTGCCTGAATCCTTGGGTATGAGTGCTTGAAGCCGCTTTAGCTGCAATCGCGTTTTGGTAGGCATGGAGCCGAATTTGTGGGTGCCATGAGAGGCGGTTAGGCCATGTGGCTTCACTGCTCTCCTCATGGAACTGATCTAAGCGCTGACACTGAATTTGGCGCCTCCGAACTTGGAGGATCTGAGTGCAGCACCGAGGCATACACCACCGTCCCAGAGGACTACACACTGAATGTTAAGAGAGGTTTCTGTATGCGACGGACCACCTGATGCCCAGGTCTTGGGCGACCATGCACCAGCAACTTTGAACACGTATCTTCATGCGCAGTAAGGTCGAAGCTGAACGGCTCAAAGTGTGCCACCTAGACCTGCAAACCTGACTAAACCACAAAGGGCCGAAACCTCTATCCCCGCGCAAGCAAGCACTGCAAGTACTGTATGCCAGGATGTCACGCAAGCACTGACGGAGTTCAGAATGGGGTTCTTGGCTTGGCCCCAGGCCATCCAGAAGATTTCATCACGAATAAAGTATAACCAATGCACAGCGAGGATGCTAGATACCAAATACGTTCGTTGTGCAGGTACACGGAGTTGATCAGACTCCGCTTCCCCCATGGTGGATAGCTTCGTTGGCACAGGTACCACCATGGGCCTGTGCCCCCTGCTGTGTACTCTGCACTCAAGTTCAGTTATATGTAAATCGTAAATAGGGAATGGCTGCAGAGCGTGAGGAGAAGGCCCTTGGATACAGGGTTGTCACACACACACACACACACACACACACACACACACTTGCACGCATGCATTCGCTTGCCTTCCTCTCAGACAGGCATAAGAACGAACCTTATAACTGCTCATGCTTAATGAACTTCCTGTGCGAGCCTTCTCAGGACCACGTCTTGCTCATGTCCCAGCACCACAAAACGACTCCCGTGGCTGATGCAGCGGACCTGCTGCTGGAGGCACTGAATTGAGGCCGGCGCCGGCCGCTGAAGCCGTCCAGGGCGCTTCCGGCTTGAAAGCCTTTGCACCTAATTCGCGAATCCCGTGGTTGTAGTTATCATGGACTCCATGGCCAGCTTCATGCATCCTGCGACGTATGTATTCGTTAACGAAACGAAACCTTCGCCCATGCCAGGGGCCCAAGCTCTTTTGCTGGCCAGGTCCATGATGTAGGTTCGCAAAAATGTACGGCGACAGGTATCTGCAATGATCCTCTTGACATCCAGTGTATTGCTCAAAAAAAGAGCCTACAATTGTGGTGTCATTAAGGCATATCTGCGACCCAGAGACTGGCAGAACGTCCATTCATACAAAGCATAGAGAAACCACCGGGGCCGAGGAGAAAGTGCAGCCTGCTCTTTGTGGTTTAGGTTGCAGAACAGGTTTGTCAAAGCAAGTACCATCCTGTTTGTCTTGCTTTCCCTCTGTTGCAGATTCCATGCTTGGCCCCTCTCAAAGGGAAGGGCCCGAATTCAAAACTGTGCACTGCGTGTGCAGCACTTCCAGGCTTGTCCCAGCAGCTCCGAGAAATAACAGCATCAGATGCTTCTGCGTGCATGTCACTTTTTGTGGCCCGATACATGCTTAGTCTGCCGTGAAAGCCGCAAAGCATCACCTCAACACAGGAAGCTGTTCTGTTCAGCTGATCCCCCGTGCGATCTACAGAGTCACTGTTGCACGTGCCACTGTCTGCTTGAGAACTTCAGGTCCATAATGTAAACATCTGTGAACGTAACATGATGAAGCCGACCTGCCGGTGATGGTAGCGGCTGGGCCGTGCTCTCTCTGCAACTCCAAAAACATCGACCCACAACAACTCGCGAGGTGCTGCCTTGGGGTAAACAGGGTTAGAACCCTTGCATTTAGGACGATGTTGGATCTAGCTGCTGACGGCCTCGTGTGTTGGCAGGCTGGCACAGGTCCGAAGCTCAACGATCAGTATTCGGTCAAGCCTTCCGTAGCTGTGTAGAATCATCTTGAACTGATTTGTCGTCCGCTGTCATGGGATGCTGAGGAGCCGAGACTGACCACCAAGACGATCACCGACTTGGGCCGAGCCCAGCAGACTTCGCTTGTGCTTCGTCTGCCCCTGGCTTAGAAAAGGATACGAGCACTGTTGCATGCAGCCCTTTTGAGCATGTGCAAGAGCCACTGCCACGTCGTCCAATAAGGCTTACGCAGCTGCAACATGTTCGTGGTACCTCGACTTCATAAGCAAGTGCCTGATGTACATGCCTGGCTAGCACTTGCCTTTCCTGGATAGGATGCAGCGGTGCCGTCAGAGCAAACGGTGCATTACTGCGCATGGCTTTCTAGTTGAGGAGCTGTAGTCCAAAAGCTCTAAAAGCCTGGATCATTTCCAGAAATTGTCCTGCTTGAACTGCCGGAATGCAGCACGAAACCAGGAGGAGGGAAGCTTCAGCCCCAAGGTCAGTGCGCTTTTGGGTTTATGAGGGATGTCAAGCTGATCGTTGGTCCTTGGGCCTGTGTGGGTTAAGCCTTTCACAGGAATTTCCCAGCCTTTGTATTGGCGGCTCCTGCAGAAATAGATGCGCTTTTGTTTCCCAACCAAGCATCAGTTGGTATCTTTGCCGTGACTTTCAAGATCTGATCTGTGGAGCATTGGAGAATTGTGCTGCCCTCAAGGCGAGGTGAACATTTTCCACTACAATGCGGCTCTCAGCGACTCTTGGATGGCAGTTGGCGAAATTGGTCCGTGACAGATTTGCTTCAGAGTTCGCGCTGCGAAGGCCTTGGCTGCTGGAAATTCCTGGCCGCGAGCGCTTAGCACATTGTTCCTCCTCTGTCGCAGGCTGAACACAGAAGCTTTCCTCTCAAAGCCCTGGTGGTACGGTGTATTATGGTGTCGTGTTCTGTCAGGCAGCTGGCAGACAAGACATCTTTCAGTGCAACTATCACCGCCTGTTCTTCGGAAAGGCGAAAACCAGAGAGGGTTTGTCGTGCATGATATGTCACGTAGTAAAGATTCCTGGACAGCGTGCTTGGACCTGGAGGTGGCCAATTGCTTTCTCATTAATCAGCAGACATTCCTCGGCTTGCTTGGACCCGCTCCAGTATTCAGAGAGATGGAGCGTGCAAGCAGGATGAGCCTTTGGAACTTTCACCACATGGGTTGTGTTGTGGTTGAAGGAGTGTGACATAGTAGCTGTGGGTGCAGCTGCTGCATGCGCTGCGCTTAGTTGTACTGCGCTGCGACTCTGAGGAGTGGTTGGCTTCAAGGCATTTCAAGTTGACAGCTCAGGTGGGGTACCGTGGCCCAGAGCCTCGCGGCTGCTGGCCAGCCTGCAGGTCAAGCAGGCAAACGAGACAGGAGCCTTGCCGGAGCCACTTTTGATGCGTTGCTGCAATCTTGTGACCGGAGGTGCAAGTGAACGTGGTGGCCTGTAGTGCACTGATGGCCTCCTGCGAGCAGTCCGGTGCTTGGGCGAGGGCGCCGCATGCCTGCACGAAACGACCGATTATGTGGGTGAGCAGTTAGAACTGTAAGGAGTTGGTAGCCATGCGGGGTATGTGCTTTCAAGTCTCAAAGTCAGGATACACGGCTTTCGCCACATGCAGCTCATCGCAGTGCAGCCGAACGTGCACTGCCGAGTATTCTGCTAGGGTGCTGGCGATGCTGGCAATGTTCAACACCTGTAGCGGAGCCTAGAGCTGGCATGTTGATTGGTTTAAAGAACAGACCTTACAGAAAGCTGTGAGCTTCAGCCCATGAGAATCAGCCTGTGACGGTCATGCAGAACTCTTCTGGGGAGGGTGCTGGGATGGGTGCAAGGTGGTGACATATTCAACAATCACCAGCTCCTACAACACAGCCTTCCATTGGCGTGCAGCCGCACAAATGGTAGGCAACCTGGCAACAAGGTATATAATTAATCCGCCTAGCAGGCTGTGAAGCCATATCTGCACAGGTTCTCGGCTGCTGGCCAAAATTTTGAAGCATTGGCGAGGTGCAACAGCAGTAGTTCTGTCTGAGGTACGTGTCTGAGTGATCGAAAAGTTCGTGTCGGAGCAGGACTTTTCACAGGGGAAACTCTACCTTAGGTGGCTTCCCCGCTCGCAGACGCTTGCAGATTCTCTTCGTGCGTAGGAGGTTCGCGAACTGTGGTTTGCAACTCTGCTCTCGGCGCAATGTCCAAGAGTCGGCAATGGCTGGAGGCCAGCAGGATGCCTTGGGGCTCACTACCGTAGGTCTTGAATTGCATGCCTTGGCATGGATGCCAGGTTTTCAACGTACTGCATGACATGAGGCTTTGTGCAGCAGAGGCAAGCAGAAGCCCGGCCGCAGAAATGAGTGAGATTGCGTTATTCGCGTTGATGGCTGAACAAGTTAAGGAGTGAGCTTCAGCTCGGTAGTAGACTGCTGCCAGGCGCGCCTTTCGCTTTCGCTGCGTTTTGGGTTCCATAAACTGACCGCCAGCTCGTGCTGCAGGCCAAGCAGTGGCGGAAGGGTGTCGACATTCTGGAGCACATGTGCCTGAACAACATTCTTCTGAATGAAGTGAGTGCCACAGCGGCATTGGCGCATGGCAGGGCGCACGATTAGCATCACTTTCCTAGCCCGGGAGTATCCTGTGGATGCTCGCCGCACGGTTCACTCTCGAATTCCTGGGACCCAACACACACTAAACTCAAGGCTCGAACACTAGAGTCATTAGAGCAGTCAGCAAGCATGCGCTGGTGAAATGGCTTCGTACTCATAGTGGCCGGAATCAAGCACAAGGGACTCTTTCGCGCTTCCGAGCCAGAACAGAGCCAAGCCATGCTGGATCACGCTTCCCGTGCTTAGCAGAGACAGCGAGCTAGAGACAGTCAGAGCGCCAGCGCCATGGTGGCGCTGTCCGCGAAGAATCATCATGTCTGCCTCGCGGCGGTCGTCCTCTGCAACAACTGGGTGGAGGCAGTTGGATGATGGCAGTTGTTGTGAAGCTTTCTAGCCTGCCACGGTCAAACTCGAGCCTCCCAAAACTGTCGAGAGAAAAGTGGGAAAAACACTGCACTGCTTCGAATCTTGCATCGAGGCGGTCGACCAAAGCGAATTCTGCCCACGATGGGCTGCAGCCGGCGAGTGCGCCCGCAATGCGGATTACATGCTTAAGGCAGTGATGCGGTCACATGACCTAGTCTGTGAACATCTGTGAACTCTAGATTCTAGATCTTTGCAACCAAAGGTCAAAAAGGTCTGCGTGTGTGTGAGAGAGTTTGCACAGGCTTGTCCAGCAAGCTGCTCATCGACAGGCGCCGCGTCTCAGAGACTCGCCGTACGCTCATCGTAGCAGTAGGATCCAGAGCAAGAGGCAGTGTCCTTGGACATGCTTTGCCACTTGGCGACCTTCTAAATGCCATCTGAGTCCATGAAGGCTTTGCGCAGCCAAGGACAAGCAGCCAGTCAGTTTGTGCCCAGTGGGCCGGTGCCGGAGAATGCCAGAAGAATCCGACTTTCATGCTCAAGGAGCCGGTGGAATGCCAGTGTGTGTATGCGTGTGCGTGGGAGGCACAGTTATACATGGCAGTACCGGTAGCACAGCTAGCAGCTAGCAGATCAGTTCACGATGATGTTGGTGCTGCAACCAGTTCCAAGCGCTAGCAGTCACAGTTCACAGAGACATGGTTACAGTTGGTTTTGTAGTATGTCTGGTAAGAGCAGGAGCCGTTGTAGTACTGGTAGTGCTGTATGCACTCAAAAAATCAGTGGCAAGAAGACGAGTAGTCACAGGAATTTGGCAGCAGCTTGTCGTTGCAACCAGAAGCAACGGCAGCAATGACAGGTGCAACAAGAACAGAAATGATGATGGCGAAGGCCAGCCAGTAGGCATCGCAATGCGAAGGCCTCGACTTCGAAGTGGTTAGAATCTGAACAACATGGACAATGCAACTGTTGTTTCCAGCGTTGCTTCGATACGCTTCTAGAAGGTCTTACCGAGAGCCCTCTATTGCTGCACCACCAACAACAACAGCAGCAATAGTAACTACAACTACACCCACAACCATAACCACAACAACAACAACAGCGTAATCACTGGCACATTTAGAATCATTTAAAGTTACTCCTGGTTTCGTCGAACACAGGCCGAGGCCCCCATTGCCCCACAGAATCCTATCAAAGAGGGCCAGCCGGGTACTCGTCCGGAACATTAAAGTAGTATAATTACGCCGCCCGCCTCGGCTCCGCAGGTGCAGGGGCGGACGAAACGGCAAAGCCTTCTGTATCACAACGGAAATCTGTTCAGGTCACGGCTATGTTGAGATTTCTTTGAGCAGGACTCCCACGATTCAACAGGTGCGGGCGCCGTAGAGCTGCTGTTTCAGCGAGACGTGTCAGCGTGCGGCAAGGAGGAACGAACAGCTGTACAGGGACCAGCATGGCCGCGCGCGGCAGGGACTGAGGGGAGGGGGGAGGGGAGGGGGCAAAACACAGCAGGAAAAGAGGGGATCAGGGGGGGGGGAAGGCCGAACAATTAGGTAAAATGAAGGGCAGCCCGGCAAGGGGTGGCAAACGAACTCAAAAAGCAAGTGTCTCGAAACTTTCGGACTGTAGGAGGAGGATTAGGTGGAGGGTACCTGAAGTAACCCCCGAGACGCCTGGGCCTGTGGCCTCGGCGGATGGTGTTAAAACGGTGTAGACAATACTCCGCTGGCTTGGCCACATAAATCGCACATTTCGGTGCCCCGCTATCGCACAAGACGTCTTAAGACAAGAAAGCTCCAGGTGGTCAGAACTTTTGTCCTCCCGATGTACTGCTACTACTACTACTACCACCACTACTGCTGCCACTGCTGCCACTACTGCCACTGCTATTGCTGTGGCTATTGCTTTTCTGCTACTGCTACTGCTGCTGCTCCGGCCAGTGCCGACGACGACCAATACTGCTACTGCCAACGCTAGTACCGTGCCGAAGACAGCGACAACTAGTGCTACGACGAGGTACAACAATAAATCGTTACACGAAAGGATGGCCAATGCGATTCTTGCTGCTGTCATTTCTGCTTTTGGCGGTGACGCTGACGCATCGCTCGTGTTTCGAACCTGCTTGCATCGATTAGCACTTTAATGTGAGGAGTGTGCCAGCGCTTGTCAAGAACTGGTCAAAGCTGGTTCCACCGATCTTTGCAGCACCTGGGCACAGGGCGCCATGGATGCAGTTGGATGTGAGTGTTTTAGTGAGGCTTGCGAATCTCGTCTTGCAGCTCCAAAAGCCCTAAAGAGAAGAATTGGCAGCGGGCATTGCTGCCGGCATGATTGGTTCGGCTGTTGTTGGTGGAGTTCCGTTGGCTGCGGACAGTGCTGATGCCTAGAGACACTCGCTCTCCCGTCAGGCGGAGCATGCCAGCAGACTCCGGATTTTATGATGGACACTTGCAAAGGCAGCTGCAATCAAATGGCTGGACCAAAGGCCGGAGTCTGGACAAAGCTTGGGAAGTAACGCAGAGCGGTGCTTGACCTGGCTGGGGGTTCCTGCATCAGCGATTGTGTAGCCGCATTTGCGCATCGCGAAGGTGATCTCACCTGCGAGTGCAGAGCAGGGGGAGTCCTTGCTACCCGAAAGCATACCTCTTTATTCTATTACTTGCGCTGCATGGTCGGCGGAGACTCTTTAGTCATCTGGAGTCTGGTGAGAAATCGGGACTGAGGCTCGCAAAATCTAAGTAAGGGGCAATCGGCACGAGCCCGGTCATTTTTCGTCAGAACTTCTTGGGCTTGTGTTGCGGCTTGGGGCTTGCTTGAAGACAACAGCAAAGCCAAGTACAAGCGCTAGTTTCGGAGGTTGACAAATCCGTCGCGAAGTTTGTTCGGTTCGCTTCTCGTTGGCTTCACTCTAGTAGTTACTTGTACTTGGTGGATGGAAGATGTAAACGGTTGGAGCAAGTTGTCAAAGCATTGACCGCAAAGGCGAGAGGCGCTGGAAGCGGCGAAGGCTCGCATCGCCTTCCTCGAGGAAGAGCTCGCAGCGTCACGCAAGGCGTAGTATATTTTTACTATATCATACTTTTTTATGCTACATTTTACTATACGGTACTATATTGTCTATGTTATGCTATAGTGGCGGGCCTGGCCATCTGCCGCAAGCGCGTGAAAGGAGTTCGTGATGGAAACAGACCAAAACGAGATTGTTGCTCGGCAGTCTTTTGCCCGCCTGATGTCGCGAAACCTAGCGGAGCTAGCTAGGCTTGAGTTTCGTCTTGACAACAGAGTCAAACAATGGCTGACGAACTTGCGCATTCCATCACATGTCCTTCACGTGTGCCCAGCGTCCCGCGCATCCTCTTGCGTCCCACACATCCCGCGCTTTCGGACCTTGTTCGCCTCACCAGATTATGTGGGCAGCCGTCGAAGCGAGACAGCGTGGCGTACCCAGCACAGCAGTATACCACTTGTTTTGCTTGCGGGGGGACTGCCCATATGCAATGCCTTCATTCGCCTGGAGAACGGAACCGATGAGCACAGGGTCGCCGATCGATCCCATCCGCCAGTCTCTTCCACTGAACTCCGTTCCCTTTTCTGCGACAAGGTCAGGTCAGCGGGTGGGCGGGGAAAGCAAACTGTGCTGCCTGTGTTCGTCTTCGTGTGCAAGCCAAGCCAGCAGCTTGCTCGCCGAAGCCCAAGCAAGGTGTGGTCAGAGCAAGCTAAGCGGAAGCGTGAGTAGAAACAAGCCCAAAAAACCTCAACTAGCGTGCGTTGGGCCAACACTGTAGCTTTCGTGTGCCGTCTGCCCACCGTGTAGCAGACTTGCAGACAAAGCCTGCGAGGCATCAACAGCCTCCTGTCCGTCCGAGCTGCTGGTGCAAGATGAGAACGGCAACACGCGGGCTAAGCATCACACTGGCAATGAGGAAGAGCAAGAACTATTGCTTTTCTATGCTGGTCGGATCCGCTGCGACGGGGATGCTTGCAATGCTGGACTTCTTGTGACCGCCGCGTGGCAGCATTCTGGTGGCAATCGAGTTGTCGACGTATCTAGCCTCTCGGTTGTGCCAAAACCTTGAGGCGGTAAGAGCAGCTTTACAACAATCTTTCCAGCTTCTCCTCGATGGCTTTCTGGTTCTACTCAACGAGGGTCTGGGGGCAGATCCCGAGAAGGGCCGAGCCGCGGCTGCCCAGGCGGCAAGGATAATGCGCAAAATTCGGGAGCGGCTGAAGGCGAAGGCCTCTACCAAGATCGGCGAGCTTCAGGAGCGGCTGCAGCAGGAGCTGGCCACGAGCGACTCTATGAGCATACTTGCGGAAACGGCATCGAAGCGCTTCCAGGAAGCTGTGGAATTCTCTGAGATGTGCCGACGTCGCTTGCAGGCCTTTCTCGAGACTGCCAGGTCCAAGATGCCCGAGGAAGATCAGGAATTGCTTCCGGACCAGCCTGACAGCTTCTTGCGCGACCACGTGCTAGTCGGAGCATGGCTGGTGCTGTTTCTCCATGTACTTTGCAGAATGATTGGTTTCTTGTTGAGAAGCGCTTTCAAGTGCTTGTTGGTGTGGCCCTGTCGATGCTTCTGGGCTGTCTGTCGCGGGTGCATTTGTTGCCTCTGCCCCTATGGACGCAAAGTGGTCGAAGAACGGCCTTCCACAGCCGCACATGCCAATGGTGCTGCCAATGGCGCGAGCAAAAAGCCGGTCTGAATGTCTACATGGGTGGTTGTCAAAATTAGGGTCCCTTTTTGGGTCCCCAATATAGTACGGCGCCTATTATTTAGGGTACCCAAAAAGGGACCAGAATTTTGACAACCACCCGCATGGGTCTGCGATTGCCTGCTGCGTGGCAGGATGTAGTCTAGGGGCAGTGCCTCGCTTGACAGAGGCTCGGCTAGGCTATTTCTTACTGTGCGATTGCTGTCACACCTTCAAGTCTTTCTAATATGCTTGGTCCGTCACTGCTGCTTCTTTGCAGCCGCAACCATACCCAACAAAGCATAGGGCCGCTGTCTGTCACCACGGTTCTTGTCCAGTTTGTGTATGCTGCCTGTGTACTGAGGTGCCTGTGTTGCCATCCAGTCCTTAGCCAGTGCATCTCCGCAGGTCTTAGATAGCTTTTTGGTGCAAGTTGCGCGATGATGCGAGATTCGCTGAATGAACCTCCGTTGACTGCAGGGGTCTACTTGGCGCTCTGTCTTGGTATTCTTGCGTTCTCCGGCTGCATTGCTCGGAGGGGAGACTTCATGGTGCGTTTCTATAGCCATATAGCCCAAAGAAGCGTGCAGCGGCACGTATGCACACGACGCGAAGGAAGACTGGAATCCGCGTCTGTTGAGCTCGATCACTTCAGCTTCAATTCAGTGCTTGCCGTGCTGCACTTACAACGATGAAGTGAAGGAGTTCCCGTGTTCCTGATTAACTGGGCTCTTCTGCTGGTTTGCACAGGTGTGTGAGCCAAGTGGAGCGTGGACGCTCGCGCTAAGCCTCTTCGCCAGCTTTTTTGCTCAACGGTCTGTGGCCCAGCTCCTGAAACTGGGCTTTGCATGCTTACAAGAGTCTAAGAGACTGGAATGCTTCGGACCCCGGTCTGATGCAGGTTTCAGCCTGATGATGTCAGTCCGGGGCTTGCAATGGGACCTCGCGTTTAGGGGCGTTCAATCGGCAAGGAGGAGACATACTCTAGTCGGGCCGCCGACACTGAGGCTACATGTCAATGCTTTGCTCATTGTCTGACAAGCCAAGCTTGTCTCGTCGTTGGCTGCATGCAGCCCACCTTCTTGGCAGGCCCGTTTCAGATCTGTCAGAGATTGCCGGAGAACATCGAGACTCTTGGGACTGTAGGTGTCATTGACCCGAGTACATACAGGTAAACTCTGCTGCCGACAAACCCAGAACCTCGGCACCCGGCATTGGTCGCTCATGACGTGACATGGGTGTATAAAGACAGAGTCCAGTCATGTTCGTCCCGGCCAAGCTGCAAAACATCTGAAATGTCCAAAAAGCAACCTCGCTAGCGCGAGATTTTCCAGACAGGAAGTCAACTGACATGCTGCAGGAAGACCCTGCAGCGACTTAGACGGTGATGGGGCCCTGGTCGCAGGATGACCGCGTCTCCTGCAGCCTCTGCGCCGGGCTCAGGATTGACGGTACCACATGTTTTTTGCTTTCACGTATTTGAAAAGCTTGCCTGGCTTCATGTTCTTTCGGCGCAGCTTGTATCGACCGTTTGACATTCTATGCCAAGTTTCTATTGGGTTCGTCCAAGGTATAAGTAAGCCTGAGCATGTGCTTGAATGGCTTTCACTAGCAACGGACCGGAGGAGAGTGCCGATGGCCATCATAATCACCATCTTCGTCATCATCGTCAGGATCATCATCACTATCACTGGCGTTGGAGTTCATGGCGGGCCGGATGTCAGTGGAACCGTATCAGATCCTCACGCCCCAAGCAACCGGACGCAAAACCAGCAAGAGTCATGGAAGGGGCAGCCAACCACAACCACAGGTGGAAGGGGCATGGGTTGGCCGACCACGGCGGGGGTTCCATGAGGTGGGCGGGGGGGGGGGCTAGCAGCGCTGTTGCTTCGAGAATGTCCGGCTTCCCTCGCTACATTCATCGGTCCAACATCTGTCATGGCAGCCGAGGACGAGGCAGCTGTCGCGACGGCTGTGGCTTCGGCCCAGTGCATGCCCCCACGATGCATCTAACATCTGGCATTGCACGGACATGGCAATGTGCGAGATTGCCAAGATCATTCGTGCGCAGGGTACATCTGTAAGATTCTGCAAGTGTAGAGTGTTGCTAACCCTTAAGTGGCAAACAGTTTTGCCAAAGGAACAAGTTTCTTCCGGCCACCACGTTGAGAGTCCAGCATCGTCCAGTATTCAAGACATGCCATCACACACACACAAACTAGCTACAAGAGTCATTGAGGCAGTGGCATCACGGACTGGAAGTCGTGCGGCGCTTGAAGCACACGCCCGCCCAGGCAGGAGTCCTGCCTTGGCATGCGGAATCCGCTACCAACAAAACCACTGACTGTGCCAGGGGTCTGCAGCTGCTGCAGTTGTTGGTGCATGTGTGGCTGCGAGGACGAGGGGTTGCGTGTCTTAGGACTTAGCTTCAAGCGACTGCTTTGCCAAACATTACGTGTATCACGTGCTTTTCGAGGAGCCCGCGGCCGGCCGCTGCTGTCCTGACAGAGCTGAATGACATGTGGCCTACCATCGCGGGGCCTCTCTCCACTTCCCGCTCCTCATTTCGTGCCGGGAAAAGCTGAGTCCCCCTGTGCATTCGCCAACGCGACGTTGGACACCTCCAACGCGATCTGACTTGGTCATGCTTTGTCTGCTGCCGATCAGCTTCCAGGAAGTTTGGGGGATGGGGGGGGTTCACTCTCGCTCGCGGCCGCCGTGGCGACAGCCTGAGTCTGTGTATGCTTTAATCATTGACTTCTCTATTCGAGGATGACTGTCGGTTGCAGAATGACGAAACAGGGATGTTGTCCTCGCCTTGTTTCAAGTTTCGACAGGTGATGCTGCTGAGACGGATTGGCATTCGCCGGAGCCTTCGTTCGTGCCAAGACACAGATTCAGAGGGCCACCCAATTGCTAAGGCCCTCCGCTCTCGATCCTGCAATCCGTTCAATCCGGACGGGCTCGGGCCTCGGTTCTCTGTTCCGAGATGCTCTGAGCATCCTGAGCATCGTTTGCGTGACCTTGTTCCATGAGGCATTCAGCTCAACCGGAAGATCTCTGCCTCACCTCACGCCCGGGTCAGAGAGATCATAAGCCACGCTGAGCTGTCTGATCTGGCGAATAGGTACATCAGAGCTAGCCCAAGCACAGCTTTCTTCATATTTTGTAGTCCTGTTCCAACGAGGCGGAGGCGGGTTGCGGCACTGACCCTTACTGGCTTGAGCTGCCAACTCAAAGCAGCCGCAGGGGATGTTGTGCTGCGTAGACCTGGCACCACATCATGTGGTCTGCGACAGTTCCAGTCTTATGAGTATCTAACTGTCTGAGGTGGAGTGGCGTTGATCAACGCGGAAGTGCACAAGTGGCTCTGGGAGCCTTGCTTCAACCAGACTAGAAGAGTGCAGCGCACATGGACATGCAACACAAATCAGTGTCATTCCTATTGGTAGAGTATATTGTGTTGAGGTCTGCATATGAAACCGTCTCCATGGCACTTTCCTCGTAGCTGGCTTACCAGCTTTAACTCACGTAGAATTATCTGGGCTGTGAGAGTGTAAGTCAGTATTCGCTGGCCTCCTACGAGCGAGAATCGCACAAGAATGTAGACGTAACCCAATCGCCAGTTAATGATCCTGACCGGGCCAACGTGCCTGTGATCCTTGTCTCAGTAACATCCCAAACCCTCGTCTGAGTTGCTCGAGTGCGAATGCCAAAAACCGAGACAGTCCCAGGAACATCTCGTTGGGAACGACCAGCGCCATCTAATTATCAGTTACCCGTACTATAGTATGTTAGTATTTTTTGTTGTTTCTATTCCTATCATCGAAACTTGCGGCGACTGGGGTGGAGGGCTTCGGGCCAACTCTTCCCACTGCTCTCGTTGCAGGATGAGTTCCGAGAAGCGACACATCCAAATCGTGCAGAAGAGCCTAAGCCCCAGTGCACTCCTCTATCATGAGCGGCCCGGCACGTAGAATCGCGCAACGCACTGCAGGCAGATTCGGTCATGTTCGCCCCTCATGAACCCCCCGACAGGCGCGAAGCTTTGGCGAAGGAGCATGAGCGCGAGCGGCAGCAGGAGGCAGCACTCTTCGACGAAATTTCGGATGGGAGTGCACCACGTGTTCCAGCCGGCCTGGCTAGCATCTACTGTAGCCCTGTCTGTTCTACACAAGACGAAAATGGCAGAGCGCACCTCGTGAGCCTTGGACCCGGGAGCCGGTTTTACCTGAAGCAACACATATGTGCTGCGCTCCGCAGCGGCGATCTGTTTGCCTTGGCTGGTGGCCTGGTGGCGGACCTTTGATCCTAGCCGATCCTTCGGCGAGTGATTGAGCGACTCAGTTTCGGGACTTGCACTGATCCACCGTTTCCGTGGCGCGAAGAGTTTGAGGAATTTCGAAAATGGACACGTCCGGTGACACGAGGGAATTCCGCTCCATGCAGTCTCTGCAGGTGGAAAGGCTACGCGGCGAGGCCGAGTTAGTTGCGACGAGGGTGTCGCAGACGCATGCTCGCAGCAAGCCTATGGCAGTCTTTGCGTTCAATGTGGCCTGTTGCTGCCGTTGCTTGCTGTTGCTGTTGCTGTTGCTGTTGCTGTGGCTGCTGCTGCTGCTGCTGCTGCTGCTGCTGCTGCTGTTGCTGTTGCTGCTGCTGCTGGCTGTTGGCTGTTGTTGTTGCTGTTGGTGCTGCTGCTGCTGGCTGTTGCTGCTGTTGTTGTTGTTGGAGGTGGTGGTGGTCTGATATTCACTTCAAGGGCTGTGCAAGGTCCACATAACATAAGCACAAAGGACACTCCGCTGGTCCCTCATCGATTGACCTAAGCTGGGCAGGCGTCAATATGGCGCTTGCTTCAGCTTGCGGCGGCTTGCTGGCAGTTGCAAAGAGAGCTTCCATCGGCATCCGGCCGTTCAATGGAGAAGTTTGTCTGCCGAGGTCATCATGTTGCCAGTGGCAATCTATTTTCCCGCTCCGAGCTGAGCACTGGGCTTTGCGCTCCCCTCCGGATGCTGTAGCGTTGCTGTAGCTTGAGATGGCAAGGTTTGGATAGTTGACCCAACGCTCTTCTGGACTTGGGTATCGGTCCAGCACTCGTGTTTGAAAGTGGTCCAGGGCTCTGTCAGCCAAGACATCCATGCAAGCTGTGCGTGCATGTGAGACGTTGCCAGGCGCGGATCGATCGAGCAGGGCCTTGTTTCGTGAAGTCAGCATCCTATCGTCAAAGCCTTTCCGAGTCTTTCTGACAAATTGCAATCAGACATTTTCAGTGCCTACCAATTCGAGTTCATGGGCACGGCCCGAAGTCACCACTGAGCGTAACTCTGCGAACGCACCTGGACCTGCAGCTCGTATAGATTCCAAGGCATCGGCCAGGACAGATCGTACATTGTACACTGAGTTGCCAAGAGTGGGAGGCACCCGCGAGTCTGTGAGATTTATCAGACGATTCGACACTTAAAGAGTCTTACGACAGCTACCTAGATTTTCAAGCAAGCAGTGCTCTACACCTGCTGCACCATGGACGACTTCTTGGCGACAGCTATCAGTCCTAGTCTTAGCTGGGCATCCAGAGCATCCTTCATCAAGCTGAGGCAGTCGGGCAGTCCACGTGTCCTGAGCCGGCGAGTTCTCAGGATACTACATCTATCATGCCTCGGCCGTTCCTAGTGCTGGCGTTGTCGAAAACAACTTCGCTGAGCAGCTGCGGCAGCCTGAGCAGCTGGAACACGGCAATGTGATGTCCGATTGTGCCAACGCATTCCAAGGAAAGGGGTGGACAACTTTCTCACGGATGCTGTGTCAGTGGATGTCACTCGCCCATGCTCACAGCCAGAGTTTCACCCTGGGTTTTGCATGGTTTCCCAGTCGCATTGTCACAGCCTGCGAGCTGGCAGATGCTGGCGCAGGTAGCAAGACAGAGCAGGATCTGTTCGGCGTGTTATCGGCGTCCCATGTGAGGGTTTGTAAAGGTGTGCAACATGTTGTGTGTGTGTGTGTAACTGAGCAGAGGGTGCATCTGCGGACAGTGCCTTCTGTCTATGACCGTAGAGCCGTAGAGTAGCCGGTGGTACCAGTGGAAAGCCTTAGGCCACGTTCCGACAGCAATGCCAGTCTGCACTGGCGGATGTGGAGCGGGTGAAAGCTTCGGTCGCTCGATTGCTAATTTTCCGGCCCCGTGTTGTGCGATTTTTCTCCATCAAGGATTGTATTAGCCCCGCCCCCGGCAGACTGAGGAGCTCCTGCAACGGGCGGAAGACGTCTTCGCCAAGGTGGTGCCGCTTTAGAATTGCTAGAAAGACACCTTGCGCCCGCTGAGCAAAGTTGCCGCCAGTATCGTCGAACGCCTTCGTTCCTTGCAGCTTCTGAATCTCGAAGCAGGTGTCAACCTTCGCTTCTGAGCTTCTCCCAAAGATTGCCAGCCAGGCGAAGACGGGGTGCCTGCCAATGTTCACCCAGCAGGGACCGCGAGTGGAGCATTTCCCGTGAGTTGGGTCCCAGTCGGTGTTCCAGGAGCCCCTTCCGAAAGAGATGCTGCGCTCCCTGAATGCCACTATCGCAGAGGCGGAGGCCCGTTATTCTGCTGTCTCTGCTTCTTGGGATGCATCTCAGTGTTGTCGCCCTGCAGCCTTGTTGACTCGCTGCTGCAGAACCCCCAAAACCCGAAACTCAATGAAGACGGAACGACCGGGCGGCTTTCAGCGGGCGATGCCAGCACGAGGTTAAGTCCGACGTTCTACCGGACACACTTCTCAATGCAGAGCTCGGCTCAAAGCTGCGACTTGGTTGCGGAGAGCCGCCTCCCTGTTGAAGTCACTGCAGATGCTTGGCTTCAGGTACCCTGGGTTGCTCAAGAAGGACCGGGGCACGGGATCCGACGAAATCTTATACGAGTTTAGAGCGCATTGGACGTCGTCGCAATCATTGTGGTATGGTCCTGGAGATGTAGATCCTGCACGAGTCCAGTCCAGGTTGAGGCTGTATGCAGACGGGACATGCAAGAGCTGCAGAAGAGGGAGCTGGAGAACTTTCGGGTGCCTTTTTCGCACTTCTTTGGACGCGGTCTTGGCATCGGGGCTTCTTACCAGACCGCTAGAATCAGGCTTAGACTCCTTCGGTTTTGGAGCTGATGCCCACACCCCCCCGCCTCTAAGTTTTACTTCTCTTTTCGCATCTCTACGGCCTATCGAGGCTTGAAGTTGGACCTTGAATGTTTTCTGAAGCTTGCCGATCGATTCTCTGCATTCCCGGGTCCTGGACCCCGGGACCCCCCTGGTCTTCTTTACCAATTTTTCTCTGCATGCAGGTGCAGCTTATGTGCCGTAGTGTTGCGGCCAAGGTTCCTCACAGGCGTGTATGGTCAGTGGATTGGCCAGTTAGGACTTCAATTGTCACTTTCCCCGGCCGACTTCCCGAGCCCAAATGCAACAAACAAGGACCTCAATGGTGAATTCCTGCGTCCCGTTCATGCGATCGTGTTTCGTTCTAGCTTCTGGCAAGTGCCGACTCCCTGGATGGCTGAAACTTCCAAGTTCCCCACTCTTGCAAACTCAAAGGTTAGAACGGCAGAGCGGTCTGCCCGAGTGCCTGGTGTCTTTGCAAATCGGCCACAAACACTTACTAAACGATGCCCCAGCCACGCCAGCGCCAGGATAACTTTGGAGTCTTCCACCGATGCACTACGCACCTCACTCTGCCATCCCCATCTATCCCCTGTCCTTGTCCTGGGAGCATTTTGTGTCGGACCCTGTTTGGAATCCGAGCTAAAACAACAAGTAGTCACAAGTAGTCACAATGAAACCAGAGTGACGCAACGTGCGGTTCTCCTCTTTGGCCTTGATTTTGGCTCCGCGGCGACTTCAACCGTACGTATATGAGTGTGTAGATAGTATACAAAATTATCACATTCAATGCATCGAAGAGCGGCTCAAGGCCGGTTCGGGAAGGATTCTGTACCTCCTCAAAGATCTTTCCAGGCCGAATCACCCTCCCTGCCCTACCCTCCGAATCATGGGAAGCCTTGGAATCTCCTTGATGCCAGCGACAGGCCTTGCTGCGCAAAGGCGGCTTGGACGACAGCTTCGATGCCAAGGTGGCGCAATTTGCTGCAGAGCGGAGCCGACCCGTGTCCGCAGACCGGCTGTCGTTCTGAACTCGTAGATGTGGGGCTGCTCGCCTTTGCTCTGCTCGAAAGGTTCCGAAGCTTCTGCTTGCTCTGCACCGAGGAAAGCTGGCCGAGGTCATCAAGGTTCACGAAGACCCTGTGACGGCATTCGAGCGTGCCGTCACCAGAGTGCTGATGGTCTCCAGTGCCACACAGCCCAAGTCGTTGCATCTTATCGGGGAAGTTGAGCGAACAAGGAAGCCTTGGCCTACTCCGATCACCGGCCTTTGCAGGAACAAGTTCAGCCAGGACGCGGCTTATCGCTTCGATAGAGGTGCGGGAGAAGGTCAGGCAATAAACGGTGCATGGAAAAGCCTCCCAAGCCGGAGTTATCCTTCGCCGTTGAAGGAGGCTCCATCCTCAGGATCCTCACGTGGAACACTCTGGAGTTCCCGTCCTTGACATCTGGCCAAGTAGTGCAGGATGGGAGTCCTGGCAGAAGCCCTTTCGTTCAAACATGTGCCCCGCACGTGCCCATGTCAGGGCTGGGGGCGGAGTGATAGGAGCCTCAGCCGCCTTGGGTTCGGCTGTGCCCGAGGATCCTGCCGTACTGTCGCCAAATGCTGCGACAGCTGAAGAGCCACCTTGCCGCAAACCAGCAGTTTAACCAACAATGCAGGTGTTTTCGGTTTGTTGGAGGTGGAGGCACCTAGCGAGAGGCAGCAAAGCAAGGTTCTTAGGCATCTGCTTGCTTCGTCCTGTGAAGCTTAACCGAGGAGAAAGCCCGGAGGACTCCAGCAGAGACGTTTTCGTCAAGCGGTGCAGCTTCTTCCCATGATGTTTCGTTTAGTTGTCTTTGCAGAGTGCCATCTGAAACGAACCGTGTGCCTCGTGCAGCTTCAAGCAGACTGGGTTCCAAGCAGTGTTTTCTGATCTGTTGGAACCCCCTGCCTCCTTGTTTGCTGCATATGTTTGCTGCCTTAGGAGGCGGAGCTGTTCATCCATGCGATGACATCACCAACAGCAGCTTGGCGAGCCTGTCCTCAAAGCCAGTCCCCGGCATCTGGGTCCAAGAAGGACGCAAAAGGGTCTCCCAGCTTGCGAACAGCTAAGGTCATAGCTGCGCACGCAGCCTATGTGGAGAAGGTCCTTGTCGACGCGCTGTCGGCAGAGGTGGATGTGGCCTTCCTTCAAGAGCTGAACCATGAAGTTGCTCAGAAGGTGCGGTTGACGGGTCTGCAATTGCATAACTATGCAGCTGGCAGCAGTGCTTCCAACGCTATGTAGACCCCTCTGGGAGGAAACAAGGATCCCTTGTGGTCGAGTTCTCAAACCCAATTTGGTCAACAACTAAGTTTGCTGAAATGTGCGCGGCAGGTGCAAGAGTGCTGCCTGCAGAGACCCAGCTCAAGCTTCTCTCGCACTTTTTCAAGAACGTGGTGTAGAGGCTAGCGACTGGCACAGATTGTTGCGTGGAAGTGGCGGGTCTCCTGAGGAAAGGCTGGGCTACAGCATTGTCAGAAGCCAACGAAGACAGCCGCTCGATTCCATATCATCTGCGGCCGTAGAATGTACGGAGGCTATCATCAGAGCCGAGTGACGACAGCGCCTTGTTCTATCTTCAACCAGTGGGCTAGCACAGCTCCTTGCGCCTGTACGGTTTTCGATTTACGATCCATGTCGCAACTCTGGCTCATCTGAGAAACATCGAGGCGGCAAGTGCAATGCAATGACGATGGTGGTTTCACGGCAGCCCATCGATGAAGAGCAGCAGGCGGGGACAGAATGGCAAACCGGATGTTATGTTGAACATCGACATGGTTTGCCGAGCTTAGGTCGCCGTTGAGGTGGGAAAGAAGAAAAGCCTCAAGCTCAGTACCCGCTTGCAGGCTGCACGTCCAAGCAGGCCCGGAGTTGGTTCTTCTCCCACCAAGGCTTGCGGCGGGCCTGAGAAGAAGATGGGAGCTAGAGCAGCCATGTAACACATTATTTTAGTCCTGCCCCGCAAGCCAGATTTCGAACTTGAGCTGTAATTGAGCCCGCCATGGTACAAGGAGGGCATTACAGGGTGAGTTCACGAAGATTTACCCAACTCGTGTAAATATTCTTCTAAGTCACGCCAGCAAGTTGGGAATGCGCTAGCCACTAGCATAACCACCCACCCTGTTTGCTGGGTGCAGCATCCCAAGGATACTTCGCAGCAGCCAGGTGTGGGTCGACCTGGTTCGTGCTTGTGACTTAGCACCCCTGCATCTGCAAACGCAGGAACTTTTGCAAAGGGTTGGTGCTGCATGCACCGGAAGCCTTTCACACTCAGGTCCTGCCACGTGCCCATCGTCAGCGACAAAAAAAGCCCGCCGAACCTTCAGGAGGAGTGCGGGTGGCTGAGTTGCGGCTTTGCGGCCGCCTTTGTGCCTCACTCCCAGAAACTTCTCGCCAGGACACGGCAGTGCAGGTCCTCGAGCAGCTAAGAGCTGAGCTGCGCGGTGAGCGCATCCCGGCTGAGCTTGGTGCCTCCTTGCCAAGTGTTGCAGTTTCAAGCGACGAGGCTGCAATGTGAGCATGTGCAGAGTCTGCTGTGTCAGCTGCATGTTCGCAGGCATCGTGGCAGGCGGAGATTGGAATGCCAAAGTCCACGAGGCAACACTTCACACATACACAAATGCAGCGCCTGCAATAGCGCCTGGTGGTTGGCAGGTCGCAAAACAGTACGAGGCCAAAGACAAGATGCCTGGCTGAAGCACCGCAAGAAGGGCCTTGCCTTACATGAAGCTGCCACACTGTTTGTACCGAGTGGTGCGCCACTCGCAGCCGAGGATGCCAAGTTCTGGGCTTAGTGCCGAAAACGACCACTGGAGCATGCCATCGGACAGTGCTGTATGCCGGTCGCATCCCTGCCTTGTCTAGCAGTTCAGTCTCCCTTCGTCACAGCTCTGCGCCTCAACTACCGGTCGAGGTCTGCATGCACCACGTGGTCCAACATGTTTTGATCGAGATTATGCCATTGACGGAATCTTCTGCTTGGCATAGAAAACAGGGCCGGGCCCGAGCTGCAAAGGACGTCAGCGGTCAGCTGGCCGTGTCCACCCAAAGCAGCATTCCTGATCAGGCTGGCGCAGTGGGCAGCAACCAGACGAGATCTGCCCGGCACAAAGCAAGACTCACATCCATGAACTGCGCCTACCAGCTAACTCCTGCTCGGGTGTTCGATACGACCAAGGTTTCCGGACACCCTTTGTGCGGCTCTAGGGCGTCGGGAGCATAAGATAATGCGGTCTATGAGGTTATGAGATGTTATGAGAGTAGAGAGAGGTCCGGATGCCTCGAAGGGAAGCGCTCGGCTCTGTTGAGGCATGCACGAGTCCGTGTCGGCACCCTGGCCGGGAGCTTGTGACCTCCGGTATTTGCGGCCTCCTTCGGTTTAAGAGAGTGTCTTCTCTTTCAGGTCGACAGCCATCGAGCCCGCTGAGGTCATCGCATGCAATGAGTGCTCAGAACAGTGTGGGCAAGGTTTGATGCTCTCATCATTGAACGTAGACTCCCACCCTCAAGCCGATGTAAGGCTTGCAAGCACTGACCCCGGAAGCTCTCTTTTGATCAGACGCAGGTTTGCAGCTCCCTGCGCAACGCGGAGTTGGATATTCAGTCGTTGGATTCCAGGCTTCGCCTCCCTTTGTGTACATCTGCCGACGAGGGAAGAGCCAGGCAGGCCAACCTCTGTCCTGATTCGCTGCAGGCCTTATGCTTCTGGGAGCATGGCCGAGGCCCCTCCGAAGTCGGCTTCAAGGTGTCACTTCACCTTAGGCGTGTAGCGCATGAAGGTGTATTTCGGCAAGCTCAAGGACGGCACAGAGGTTGCGGTCAAGTGCCTCAGGCCATGGCCTCGAAGCAAGGTTTCATAATCATGGTCGATGGTAGCAGTGCAAATCTACTAGGTAGAGACCATCGAAGAGCTTTTTGCTTGCGGAGGCCGGGAGTCAAGCGGCTGCTAGAAGCTGACTTGGCTTTGCTGCTATGTCGGGACCCAAGATGACGGACTCTTGAAGAACTATAGCAGCATCCGTAATCGTCAACGTGCGGTTGTATCGTTTCGTCGTCGCTCGAGAACGTACATCTGTATGCAGACCGGTCACGTGAATGCTGCAGCCATGGCAAGGTTTTGGCAACTGGGCGGAGTCTCTGGAGCCTCTTCGCATGTCTTGGCCTGGGTGGGTTTACCGTGCGAAGATGGTAGCAGAGTTAAGTCTTGCTTTTAGCAGAGAGGCAGACCGACCATGGCCAGAAATCTGCGCATTGTTGATGGTAATATCAGTTCAGGGCGGGGGTGAGGGGGGGGGGGCTAAATTGGTGGATTTGGAGGCAGCAAGAAGTTGGGCTTTACAACAGCACCGCAAACACCGAGTAAAATGGATGTGCTCTTAACGATGGTTTAGTTGGTAGAGGGCGTGCGACGACAACACAACAAAAACTACTATTACGACTACGACGACTACAAGGACAACCAGTACCGCTACTACTACCCTACCACGACGACGACGACTACTACTATTGTTATCTGGCTACTGCTACTGCTCCTACCGACGACTACCACGATGCTGCCACAGATATGTAAAAGCCCGCTAGCGAACATCCACCGGATACAAAACCGCCAAGCTTTCGTTGTCCATGCCTCCGGCCCTGAGGTAAAGTTTTGTTGAACGAGGTGTGTACAGGGAGGATGTTGATGCTTTGCCTAGGCTTGGCTTGAAGAAAGCCGCAGAAGAGTTTTGCGAACATGTGCAGATGCAGACGGTGCGGCTCTCAAATCTGTTTGTTTAGCTTCGGTTTACATGTCGAACCGTTGCGCCAACCGCGAGAAATCTCTGTGGGTGCACGTGTTTCTTGCCATTTTGCAATCAACAGACATCAACAGACCTGCGGTGCATCCTTGCCTCGCACGATAGTGCAACAATCCTACTGAGGCAGTCATCCGCAACGTCGTAGTCGTCACCTGACCCACCTTTCCAACATCGCCAGAATTATCGTTGTTGTCATCCAATAATGTAAAATAGTTGGCATCCGACTCCCTCTTCGCAAACCTATTTAATTGCAAGTCCTGCCGTGCTGCTTCATGGTAATCTCGGCGTTCTGTGAATAAGTACCTTGACTCCCGAATTCGAGCCGTCTAGCATTCCTTCTGCTAAGGACTTTCGGACGGAAGCCTCCCACCTGCCGGCTTCTCAGACATGACAATGTGACAGGTGTAAGCCGCCACATGCTAAGCCGTCGCAGTCACATGGGCAGCCCGGAAGGTCTGAGATGAGGGAGGCTTCCGTCCGAATGTTTCCCAACTCAACTGAAGTGCTGAGGCATCGCTTCCGCGAAAACTTCGAGGAGTTGAAGTGCCTCAGCTAGCACAGTCGAGGTACATCTCGAGAAAGACCACGAGGATGAATGCCTTTATGTTCTACAAGTCCGGTTCCTGTTCTGGTAGCCCAGCCCTCTTGAGGTCAATAAGATTTCCTTCGCCGCTGTATGCCTCGCCTGTGCCTCGGGTGCTCTCCCAGTCCCGTGTCGATGCGTGTGAGCGCCGACAGCTTGGTGGTCGGTTTCAATATATGGTACGGTACTGTTTTTCGGCATGCATGATCGTCAAGCTACGGTTCGCCATGTCAGTGTAATACTCATACCACATCGCTGGCCAGTGAATGTGCTTCTCCTGTATGCCTCTTATGAAGCCTGGCATGCATTCACGGCACGCGTGAGCGTCGACAAACTTCAAAGCCAAGAACCTGGTCCGGCCCGAAGTTGAGTGCATAAGCTCTGTCAAGTTGCCTGGCTTCCTGACACACAGGCTTCAAACCGAGGAAAGCCAGGTAGAAGCCTAATTCCTCAACTTTGCGGTTCCATCAACCAAGATTCTTTCAACCGCGCTTCCTTCTACCGTGTTCGCCGCGTCCCTCAACCCAGATAGTGCGGATTCAGTCAACCCCCATCGCCTGCTTGCATCAACGCAGACTGTGCTGATTCTGTCAACTCCGCCCCCCCGCTTCCGTCAACACTACACTGTTGTCAACGCATCTCGGCCGCTCTTGCCAGTCTCACATTGAATAATGCAGCCCTTACCCTCAAAGAATGACCGGCGCCCTGAACATGCCGGCCGCCGTACGTCATGCGCCGCCTGCGGCGCATGTGCTAGTCGCAGTGCGGTGCGGATGGTTAGGGTAGCCGGCGAGGGCGCGGCACAAGAATCCGCGTGTCCGTGGTTGAGTGAGCCCTTGTGGTTGGGGTAGCACGCGTGTCCGTAGTTGGAGCGACTCTTTGTGTATGGGTTGAACGAAGCAGCTGTTTGGGTTGAAGGAATCACTCCCCGGGCCATGGTTTCAACCAGGTTTTGGGGTGGAATGCATCCGCGTTTTCGGGTTGGCAGAATAAGCGGGCACCGGTTGACTGAGTAATCGGCGAAAAGTTGAAAGAATCCGAGCGCGACCAGGAAAGCCACCGCTTTTCCGAGGCAAGACCTTCTCGTGCTGTCTCGGGAAGTGGGAAGAGAGCCGGCCCCTCGAGCACGGCGAAAATCAGAACAATGAATGCCTATATGGTCCTCGACAGATTCATGATCCGTGGGGCATTGTGTGAGGCGTAGTAGGTTGTGCAGGATTTCAAAAATGCGTCTCTTTCTCACTTCCTTATACGGTGCGTTTTAGGAAGAAGACCAAAAAGATACCATGAAGTGGTTCCACAAGATGAAGCAACCTCCGTATTAAAAGCAGCAAGATGCGAAGTCTGTTCGAGCCGACAGCCCCGCAGCCAAGAAGTGAGTCGCAATAGGGGGCAAAGCGTTGCTTTTTGGGATTGCTTGCTAAGGCTCTCCCGTGTATTCCGAGAGGCTATGACTTCTGCAGTGTCCTGAGCATCTTCAGTTGCCTGCAGCAGGCTTCTCCACACAGGCGCCATGCGTGGGGGATATTCGTAGGTGATAGTAGTATGGATACTCAATGTTGGTAAGTAATTGTGGCCCCATAGTGCCCAATGCCAACGATGGGAGAGAGTTCGACACTCCAAGCTCAATCTTTGCAGTTCAGGACCGCGATAGACGTGACATGAGGGTGCTCGGGTCTAGCTACAGTAGCGCCTGCCTCCTACACTTAGGATGGTCAGGATGAGAGACAAGATGTTGACCGGTTCGAGAGCCACGCGGCACACCTCGCCTGCTTTGAAGTGCCTGTCCTTGAGCACAAAGAGCATCTGATCGCCTCACAGCTGCATGGGCGGCAGATTGTGCCAGAAAGTTTTGATTCATTTGACAAGCACGCATGGAAGAACGGAGCCTTACTTCGGCCAAGGGCTCAGTTTCCAGACACATCTTCACTGTTCGAAAATTGGACGTCATTGGAGCTATTCATGTAGTGTCCGGCCGGTGCACATACCGCCAATCCTGACTCATCTAGACATCGGAAACTGTTGTAGTCTGACAAGAATTGCCGGCCACGAAGCTAGTCCTCATCCTTGCCGGTTCTGGGCGCCAGGATACCATCAGAAGTATCTTGGGCATTCCGCAGGACAGCACCCTGTCATGCTTGGTCGACACGAAATATCATCTGCCCGTCTCTGCCTGTTCCAACAAGTCAACACGTTTGCTGCACCAGAATCAGGACGTAAGTCGGAGGATTGCATCGGACAGCCAGAGGCTAAGCCGGCAAGCATGCAATGCGTGTCATGGCGATAGTGCCAGGGCTTCCGTTCCCTTGCCTTCGGATCTTGGATGACGGCCTGACATAGACCCAAGACGGCCTTCCAGTAACCCCCGGACCCGAACCAATATGAGACGGCATCGTGAGGCTTCGTGCGGCCGCAGAGGTGTGTAAGTTGGGTGCGAGTGCAAAAACTTAGGGCTTAAGATGTCGCGGAATGGAGCCGCACTACTGGGTGCCCTGCCGTGTCAATCAGATTCGCTCGCAGCGATGCTAAGGTCTTGCGGCCTACATGCGGATGATCTTCAAAGACCAGTTTATCCATGGAGCTGCTTGCCCAAAAGATAGTCGTACCGTCGACGGGTCTGCGAAGATGTTAGTGCGTTCGAGGATCTCCATCCCGGGAATGTGATGCTGAAGCCATGCACTCGGACAACACCTTCGTCATCCTTCGTCCACGAGCCATTTTCGTGCCATTCTTGTGCTTTGCACATGTGTAGTCTCCACGTTGTGCCCGACTGTGCGCAGCTTTCAGAGGCTGGCTGGCGGATCGAGCAGTTCTCACCCTGAACAGGACAGGGCCCGATCGCTTACGAATTGAAGATCTTGAATTCGCATCCAAAGCAGGTACAGTACAGGATCAGTACAGGTAGCTGTTAAGTGTCGCATGCAATCCAGAGGCCGATGATACTGGCAGTGGCTCCTTGGTTGCGCCTGCCCCGGTACTGCCGCTACTCGTACTGCACTTGGACGTGACACTCTGCAAAAGCCGCGACAATCCGGAGGGCAAAGCCTCCGACCGCTTGAGCTCGGTGGTGACCCGCCGGGAGCTCAAAGCAATCGCATGCACGGCGTAGAGAGGCTGTTTCAGTCTCGCCGCTTGCGGCCCACTCTGCAGGTGCTCGGGGTCAGCCTTTTGAGCTGATCATTCTGGATGCTGGTGCCGGGCCTACAGATCGGAGTCAAGAGGCTCGTCGGTCCACGTGGGTTCCACTCGTGATTTTTCAATGATTCCGGAAACTCAGGCTTGGCGATACCACTCGCCCGGGAAAAAGTCGAGGCAACACCATGCTACCATCATGCGATATTGGTCCAATCAGTATTCGGTACAGTTCTCACCATTGCCGCTTCAGAATTTGATACATTTCGAAAGCGTCACAGAGCACGGAGATGCAAGGCCTTGCGCTCACTCGCGCTTGCGATCATCTACGGCGATTTTAACCGGGCCCGGGCCAAAGCAAAGCGTGACGCGGCATCAGAAGCATCCTATTCATGAGCACTTGTTTCTGACAGGCTGCTCAGATTCTCTATGACCAGAGTCCCGACACCTCCAATTGCCAGGACCCAGTCATGTAGAAGGTGCATGATTGCAGATTCACTGTGTAGTCAGTAGTCTGTTGCCGCCTGGTAAAGCCGGCCCATATCTCGAGGACCCGCAGGCTTTCAAGAGCGGGCTGGCGAAGGCGGATCAGCCCTCCCTGGCTTTCCCGAATACCAACTTATGGAGCTCGGTCCACTGTCTTTGGCTTCGATCATTTTCAACATACCACCCAAGCCTCAGTGAAGTTGGGCGTGTGGGTGGGTTGGGGCGGCAGGTTTGTGGGGCAGAACAGTGCTTCCAATCCAAGTTGCACAGCGCAGTTGAGATCATGTAAGTTTGTTTGCACAAAGCCGATGGAATCAGGGGCGAGAGCCTCTAAGACACCCGTTTCGAATTGGCTGCGACGCCTTCCACAATCATGACATATCATGCCCTTGACAGCTTTGGATATTGACGTTGATGCTGTAAGACTTGCGTCACCACGGCCTCTGCAGCGGGGACGGGGGTGGGGGTGGGGAGGCATTCCATATAGTGCCATATAGTTCCTGACTGAAACGTGCAAGATGGCCCAACCCTCAACAATGCAACCCGGGCGCGCAGGCCTTCTGCGACTGCAGGACCAATCATGGAAGCTATCATGCCGGCCCGAAGCCAGGTTGATACATGTAGCGGAAGGTCTTTAGGATCTCCAAAATGTGTTGGCGCAGGAAGCAAGTGTATGAGGACGGGTTCGTGCAGGCCGGAGATGTCCCAAGGGTTCTGAAAACGAAGAGCTTGCTTCCAAAGCAATTTGCCAAGTACATGCAGCTGCTAAGTGTGCAGCTTCAGCCTTGCCTGTAGGTCAGCGATGCTGTGTTGGAAGCACTTCGTTTGGTTCGATACTACAATGCAGGAGGCTTACACTTCTGCGGCAGGTCATCAGCAATTGGTGCTGGCTGTCATGTTCTCTCTAAGCTCAGCCGGCCCGATGCAGCAGTTCTCTGAGGTAGGACTCGACACCACGCTCACGTGGACCCTGCTGGGAATGCCGTTGCCCTTGGAAAGGGGTGTATTTCCGCAAACTGTATGTTGACATTGAATGGTCAGGCAAATCAGGCAAAGCACTAACTAAGAAATCAGACCATTACTGGTTTGGATGCTGACTTTGTGGATTTGGCAAGGCTACTCTGAGCTACTTGGGTACTGTACTGCTTGCAGATGTCCGGAGTGTTCATGAATTATGGTTGGAGGCGATAGTGTCTCGTAAGGCTCAGCATCGAAGGCTCCGCGCGCCAGCTCGATCCAGAGGCATGCCGTTTTTGCCGATTTCAAGTTAAGCTGCGCGATACCTACAGCCTGGACTGTTTAGCCTGCATTGGAAGCCCTGAAATTATTCAGGCAGACGCAGTGTATACAATCCTTTCCCGTCCACCAGATGCAAGAGCGAAGCCTGATGCCGCAGTGCATCAGCAGCACAGGATGCCGGGAAGCGATGTGGCCCTTCAGAGCCTCTTCCACCCTGAAGACGGTGATGATGAGAAGAGTCTTCATTATTTATGTTTCATGATCATTAAGTCAAGCTGTCAACAAGATCTTGTCAGCAACTATGATTTAGCTTTGACCTTATGAGTGCGTGAAGAAAACTTTGCAAAGTACACAACAAGGCCCACAAGGAAACGCAGAATGATCCCCCGAAAGCACAGTTGAAGGGCATGGAATCGTCGAGATTTAGCGTCAGGTGGATTGCGCTAGAGCTGCAACGAGGCCTGTGAAGCGATGCGATTCTGCAGATGTTTGAAGGAGTTGTCGGGGCTGACATAGGGAAGGCGAACCTGGCGACATCAGGTGGAGGTCAAAGGTCATTGCCGCGCAAAAGTTGCGTTCGATTCGGGATCTTTAGGTGTGCCACTGTTTGCCGATTGATTCTCAGACATGTAGTCAACTCCATGCAGACAGCACTGGGAGCTCTGAGTTTTTATCAGTTGTGCTTTTGACAAGTTCTCTGACGAGACAATTGGCTTGCAGACTGTGTTAGTCTGATACATCTTTCCGAAGGTACATCTTGAATCTGCCCAGCTTGCGGAAAGAGCTCCAGAGCCAATCCTGGCACACTTCAAGGTGCATTGGTTGCCTCAGCTTGGGTGCCCCCCTCCCCTGGAGCCTCCTGCCCCTCCGGGCCCTGAGCCCTGCAAGGCACATGTTGACGGAGATGTTCATGAACTGGCTCGGATTTGACTACTGGGCGCATGACTCAGTCAACTCAGCTCCCCCGAGGCTCCGTGGAGAAACACATCAGCCAAATTAGGCCCGAATCCCGAATCCGACTCAGTTCCTGGAGGCCAACCGCATGAAGCAGAAAATGTACATGAACATGTTGCTGGAATAGGCAGGCTTCGTAATCCTTTCAAGCATGCTCTTTTATACCTCGATCCGTTCTTGTCGAACACCCCTCAGCATAAGCACCGCGTTATCATCGGCGCACCGCACTTAAGAATTGTTGAACCTTCAAGGTAACAGACAGAATTAACAACGAACGGGGTCATGCTGCCGTCATATTTGCAGCTAAGGAGAAGTATGGAGAAGTGCCGGGTTATGCTCTCTGAACACAACTCGCCGCAACATCGGTGCACTCTCATGAAAGTGAGTTGTTGTGACTATCAGGCCTACAACATGATGCAAACTGAAAACCGCAGAGCCGCCAACAACTAGTGCAGGAATGTGCGTTGCCCTAAGCCTTACTTCAGTTGCTCTTGAGCCACTTTCCTTGGAACATAATCGCCGAATGGTTCGAAAAGCAAAAGGTCTGACGGGCGGCTTTTAGCTGCTTGACCAAACTTGGCTTCCACCCCAGCTGAGGAGTTGCGGAATTCCTGGTCGGTGACCTTGCCGTGGCAGATGAAGTCTTAAAAGGTCAGGGCTTCAGACCCGGCTGGGCTGCAATTGGGCCACACCGGGAAGGGATGGCAAGATGTGGCAAGATGTGGCATGCCGCTTCCAACCTTGGCCCTGATCTTCTTCTCAAGCTTTTGCTTACTAGCTGCCTAGCTCGAGCTCGAAGACCTTATGGCTTGCCATGCTTCCAACCAGCAGTCTAGCATCCCTGTTCAAAGCGTAATGCTGCGCAACTCCATGGTTCATAAGATTGGTCTGTGTTGACTTGCCCACGGGGCCTATTTCATGACCGGTTGGTTCGATGAACACACACCAGCGGGCCGATGCGGAAGAGAAATCGCTGGCCGAAGTTTTCGCACTTCGGATGACGATGGGTGATACTGAACAGACGGAAAAGTCTGCAGGTTTCAGGTTTCCGAGCCTCTAAGTCTAAGTAATTGCCCCCCCCCCCCCTCCACCCCCAAAATGTGGGATGTTCTGCCTGAGCGGAGCTCTCAGGACATGGTTGGCTTCGGACGGTTTCAGATGCGGCTGTTGCTAATAGCTGGCTGTGGCTTCATGGCCGACTCCATTGAAGTGGGCGGCATGGTCGCAGCAACGCCACGGTTTGCCTGCACTTGCATGTATGCTAGCCGCTATTATGCCTGAACCACTATGTCAAAAGCGGGTTACAATTCCACTCAGAGTGTGAAGAAGAGTGTACATATTGTATCTGAGGTGTTGTAACCTTTCTGGAACGCAAGATCCCGGAAGAGTGGCCTGAGGCTGAAGGACACTTGCATGCGAGCCCTCTGCAGTAACTGCATGCGGGTGATTCTGCCAAATGAGCCGGCTTTCGTGTGTGTACACAACCTCCTGATCTGACAACGTGACACCTGTGGTGTGCGGCAGCCAAGGATGGGCTTTGAACGCCCTTTCCATGAGTGTCTTTGGCACGAAGTTGTGCCCTTACTGCATTTGCGTTTGCCGCGCTTTGTGTCGTAAGCGGAAATGCGGAGGGGCCCACTAAGTCTGAGGCTAAAGTCGAGACACCACGCCCGATGTCAACTGTTGGCTTTTCAATTGCATCTTTGCAGGCTTGGAAGCTGCATTTGGGGCAGCCTGTCCGATCGCTTGGGTCGGAGGCGGATGTCGGGCAATCGATGGAAAACGGGGCTTACTGTATTACTTCAGGTTGTGGCTCAAGCTGTGAGGATTGGGCTGGTGACCTCTTTGACGGCTGTCGGTCTGGGACTGTTTCAAGCAGATGCCGGCTTGCATGCGACGCAGACATTTCTGGCCAGGCGAGCCTTCTTGCTGGCTAACGCCCCTTGGCTTATGCTGGCACTGCCAGCGGAAACCTGATCGTTTGCAATGCCTTCGTGCAACATAAAGTATACATTCGGAGTCTGTGGGTGCACTTCGGAAAGACGGATGTAGAGCTTCAGCTCGGCCAACCGCAAGTCATCCTAGGCACGGTTTACAGCCACAAGCCCAGGCAGCTCAGAGCTGTTCTTGGCGGTAATCCTTTCAGGGCCCTAGATTTTCAGACCGTATGAAGAGCTAGGCTGGGACAATTCCGATGTTTGCAGCCCTAAGGTCTTTCTGCTGGTCACTGGTTGCCTCTCCGCAGCATCTCCCTCGTAGCTGGCCTGAAGAGAGGAAGGCTTTAGCATAGCAGGGATTCGGCTTTGGAAAACCATGCCATAAAGTTGCATCAATGCAGGCTTGTGCTAAGATCCCAGGTGCAAGGCGCACTTGTTCCCAACAGTTACGGCGCAATGCGTTGACGGTTGCTTGCTGTTTCCGCCAGCTTCAGGCGGCAGCTGAGCAGAAGTAGAGGAAAACAAACGAGCAGTGACGATCAGTCTGTAGGTTCTAGGTACCAGACGTGCCAGCTGATAAAGTGAGACTGAGAGGCGTCCTGCAAGCGGCAGCGGTAAGGTACACATGGTTGGTTGTGGCCCGTGGATTGGTCGGCCTGGCCATCGGTGGCGTTGTGATTCCCTTCGACAACCTGGCGGAGCTGCCCTTAATTTGTGCAAGGGCAGAGCTGCTGATGCTACTGGCATGGTCACCCGGCATGTGCAACTCGACTGGGTGGCTTACGCAGCTTGCCCTTGCGCCCAGGAGAGTGTTCCGGAGAAGTATTCGAACCTGGCCCAAGATGTTAATCACAAAGTGATCAGTGGTCTGTGAGGCAGGCAAGGATTAGGCAGTCCTTCGCCAGAATGCTGCAGCACATGGGTTTGCAATATGACAAAGTAATGAAAGAGAGGGAAAACTGATTTCAAGGCTCGGCATTGGCGGAGTGTGACTCTGCTTTGCACTCTTCGACTCAAAGCTGGAAGACTTTCCAGCCGCCAAGGAGCACGATGTGCTATGCGATTGAATATGCCTGGACGCTGCTCCGCTGAAGAGTGCTGATTTCATGCTATTTCATGGAGCCTATCGCCCCAGAACTGTACGCTGAACTGTTGTTGTGTTTTTGGGTCTAGTATTTCTGCCAGCTTGTCTCACGCACGGCAAGATCGCCACTGGATTCTGATATTACGGCCGCAGGGGCAGAGGCTGTTTCGTGAGAGTGCTTAGGATCGGCACGTTGTACACAAATGCCTTGGCTGCCGCCATAATGGAGACTTGGGGTTGGAGGCAGTGTGGCCGCAAAAGATCATTCTCAGTGCATCTTGATCATCGTAATCGGAAGCTCGAGTGTGATGCCTTCATTTAAGCCCAGCTCAGAGCCCGTTGCGCTCCTTGCCAAGGATATACTTGTTGCTGACTGCTCTGCCCATTCTCCTCGCCTGCATTGGATATTTCTATCTCGAGGACGGCAGAGGGCTAAAAAGAGCCGCCTCAGTGCTTTTCGTCGCCTTTCAATAATTCGCCTCAGTGCTCTGGTCAAGCCATCGTGCTTTGCTTTGCCCCAGGAACCTCAGCCTTAGTTTGCCGGGGTAAGTGTCAGCAAACGTCAAGCATCGGCAGTACCGAAGGGCCACTTGGGAAAAGCACCATGCCCACGTTCAGGAGAGCCCTTTGTGGCTGTTGGACCGTGGTTACGATGATGACGCACTGGCGACGCTGCGTCGCATCGCTGCCGTCAACAATCGGGAGTGTCGGGTTCAAGAGCACACGTAGACATGATGCAGTGCAAGATGTGGGTTTTCTGATAAGAAGAGACAAGCCAATGCCAGTGCTGTCTAGTTTCCCAGCATGCCCGGCATGCAGAGCAGGGCTTTGCCTTCTTTTTGTCAGGAGCTTGGAAACATAGCACTGGTATCGTACGCGCATGAAGCAGAGCCGAACTGTACGGAGCTGCTCGTGCCTTGCCAAGCACTGTAGAAGGGTGGGGGCGGTCCCAGAGACTCCAAAACTTCTTGATTAAGCAATATGCCTTACTGAAATCACAATAGGACCCCTAATATGACTATTCAAGTATATTCCTTAATTAGTGGGATCTGGAGTCTCTGGGTATTACACCTGACTGGGACTTCAAGCAGCCCTTAAGGCCTTAAGGTCACTAGTTAGTCACTAGTTGCAGTTTATGCACGGTATGGGAAGGTTGGCTTCAGGTGCCATCTCTGCGACGACAGCTGGTCTCCCTTAGATCCTCAGCTGCCGCATGATGTGACATATTGGAGAGACCTAGATTTGCTGGCTACATTGTTTCAAACGAAATTCCAACTAAGGTGGGATTTGGTGTTTGGGACTTTTCGGTTATTACGGCGCTTCGATGGCGAGCGGCTTCCTTTTTGAATCCGGTGGAACGATGGATTACAGTGAAGTGCTGTTCACGAGTTTTGGCGAAATCGTCGGTACGACAGCCGTGCTCCTTGCTTCGTTTCGCATCAGTGCTGCCACAGTTCAACCCTGGTGCTACTTGTTAAGTTGCCTCGGCTGCCTCGGTGTAGCGGTGGCAAAGCTGTGCAGCGGATCTAACATCCTCATTGCAGTGCTGGCCTTCTTGGTTCGTGCTGGGTGTATGGGTGGAACTGCAGCCACGCCTTTTGTCTGCAACTGTCGTGGCAAACTCAACGCTTTTGAGATAGTTTCGTGATGTGTGAGCCAGCGTGTCAGCGATGTGAAGGTGGGTCCTGACCCCAGCTGCATTTCCGACCCACATCCGCTCGACCGCGCACAGCCTGCTGTTTGCCTGGGGCTCTGTGGGAAGCTTATTGGCAACTCGGTGAAAACTTCATACGAGCATCGCGAAGCTCTGCATGCGATCAGGGTTCACATGGTTCGGATCCAGAGATGGCAGAGCGGGCCTGAGGCGACTCTCTGGCCTTCGAAGACGTCTGCGACAGTCAGTCGCCATGATTCAGCTGAGAAATGGTCGGCACGTGACATCATCGACTGCCAAGGTCATCATGGGCACCTATGCCGTTGCAAACCTGGCATGCGTGGTCTTGGGTGTTTGGCAAGACCGCGGAATGGCGCCGTTTCTCCGATGCAGATGGCATCTTTCTAAGGGGATGGTGGCCCAATCACTCACATGAGATTAGGCGTGGTGCCTTCGACAGCTTGATTTCCGACCTCCAAGCATCCAACCTCGATCGGCGGGCCCGTTCTTCCCTTGCTCGAAGCAGCCGCGCAGTCTCTCGGCATTCACATTCTTTGCGCATTGCCTCCGAGTGCGGTGCTGAAGGGAAGCAGCTGATTCATCAGCGACCGGGCCGGGGGGGGGGGGCGGGTCGGCCAATTATTTGTCCGCGGCAGTATTCGGAAGTGCTGGAACTCATAGAATTCTGTGTGGGTTAGATATCGACAGTCAGGCCAGCCGCACGAGCACTGTGACCGGCCGGCCCAGCAACATGAGTCGCCCGAGTTGGCCATTGCTGCCGTCCCGCACCATGTCTCGCCAATGTTCAGAGCGGGACCTGGAGCCTCGCGGAGTTGTTGAACGCGGCATGCCCTCAACGTGACTCTGCACCTGCCTCGCAACATCTGCCGCCGCTGCCATGTCGAAGCTTGTGAAGATGTTTCTTCAATGGCAGCTTGCTTCAGTTTTGGTTTTACTGGGCAAAGTTCCCGACATAGTTCGGTTCGCCGGACATGCGAATTCTTTGATCCTAGCTAGCTGCATGGCGTCAATTCTGCCTTTTGGGGGGCAGCTGTGAGAACTCCGTTTGCTCAAGGGCAGCGAAGTTTCATCTTGACATTGAGAAGAATGCCAATTTGGAAAAGTCGCTCAAAATGCAAGACAAGACATTCAAGTCACTATGACATGGAACGGGATTCCGCGCCCGTTGCGTTTGCTGTGCTGCTTGCTGCACATGCAAAGCCTTGCCTGAAGGCCGGCTCTGAGTTGCTCCAGCCATGTTACTGTCAAGCAATTTTTTGAAAGCACTGTTCCAGCGGCTTCGCCACGGGGATGCTCTCGAGAAAGTTTCTGTTAGTTGCCAGCGGCTTTCGCAAATCCAAGCGCCGGGTGCGTGTATCAGAGCTGCCATCGATTTTCTTGTTGAGCATCGTTCAGCAAGCGTGGTTCACTGACGTCAATATGGTTTCACGCAGAGATGCAAAAACACCAGGTACTGTGTCTTCTCTTACAGTGACTAGTGGTGTTTACTTGTTGTGTATTGAAAGATGACCATGACAGTGCGGGTGATAATGGACACATGCCGATGATTTCGATGACGGTGGTTTTGTCGTTGGTGTTTTTCATGCAGTAGGTCTTCTTCGCAATTGTGTTCATCCTCATGGCCGAAGTTGCTGCATTCATGACCGGCCCAGGACATGGAAGCTTAGTGTTTTCCAGGTATCCGCACCGTTTGGCCCAAGGTCCGAAAGCAGCCAACCATGGGAGCCAGATGTCGCCTAAATCATCACCTCGTCAGGCAACGTTCCTTTTCATTACGCGATACAGTATCACTGATGGGCACAGGCAGCCTCGGTATGTAACTGCACAGCTTCTAGTGTGGTGAGTGTGCATACTTGCCACAGCCATCACAGCAATGCCGACCAGGACAGTGAATTTGCATGTTGGCCAATCCAGCTTGAAACTTGGAACGACCCATTGCCCCATCCGGTGGGGGATCATGGAGGATATATGTCGGCAACCTCGACAAAGATGTCCCTCCGGAGAAGGAGGCATGTCCAGTTGTGCTGCAGGTTTTGGTAGTTCAATGGCTGACGAAGTGGAAGAAGTGTACAGCACTTCACGGTAGTCGGCAAGCAGCGAAGATGGTTGCAAGGAGCTCGCGAGGAAGTTCAAGAAGTATGGAGACATTGTGGATGTGTGGGTCTCCAGACAGCCAGCAGGTGTCCTTGCTGAAATTTCGAGAGTATATAAGGCCAGGAACGTTCTCAAGCATGTCAAAGAGTTTCGAACAGTGAACAGTCCAGGATTCGCTTTCGTCACTTATGACACGTACAAGGATGCGGGGGCCTCGAACCTTTTTTGGCCAGGATTCGTAACAGAGAGTGCAGCCGCGTGCTGTTTTTGATGCAACTTACTGCGACTGAATGCAGTACACGCCCAGAGCCAGACACTGATTGCCCACACGAGATGTATTTTCGAAGATCGCCGAGGCATTGAAAGCCATAGAGGAAATGGATGGAGTGAAGTTTCAGGCCGTTCTTGAGGTATTCGGATCTTCCCTGCAGCCTCGTATGTCTTCCATCATAGTTAGTCATGGAGTGATGATGCAGTACTTCACTGCAAATTCCTGACCACGATGTCATGACGCTTTTGTTTGAAGGGCAAAAGCCTGAACATCCAGCTCTCTATGGGGAAGGGTGGAGGCCAGACGTGAAAGTCGTTCGGGCACTCCTCTGCGCTCGCATGGCAGAGGGCCAGTGCCCAGTCTTTGATAGGGTGGAGAAAACCTGATCCTCCAGCCAGGTGGCGGAGCGCAGCCTGCCCCACGTGGTCCAAGGCGACAGAAAAGAGCTCGATTTGTCGCTGTCTTCGGTTGTCAACGTGGTGCCCAAACCACGCACCGCATCTGAGGCGCAGCAGTCGCAGCAGGAGCCCACGTCGTCCTCCACGGAGGCCATAGCTTCGACATTGTGTCGCACTAACATGAACTCGGACGAGGCAACAAGGGCTTTGGTTCGGTGGAGAAGCCTGGCTGATTTCATCACTAGCTCCAGGCGCAGCCGAAGCCGCAGCCGACGGCGGAGCCCTTCCAGGACGGGTTGGCAAAAAAAACCCGCCAGACCGCTAGGCCGCTAGGGACAGAGTGTGGGAATGAGTTTTTTTTTTCAACTCTCTCTCTTTCCTGCTCCATTGCTCCATAGGCGGAGAAGAGCTCGAAGTTGTTCTCGGTCACCGTCTGCGAGACGGGACAGGCCGTTGCCGTTGACCGGCGTGTCCAAACAGTTACCTTTTGGTTAGGCGAGGCTGGGATCTAGGCCTACAGTTGCGGAAGTCTTTGAAATAAAGCGTCCGGAAGCCAGAACGTTCGACATAAAGCAAACTGCAAAGAACAGTCGGATTGATGAGGGCACAGCTGCCTTAAGGCATTTCACCCTACTTGCAGCAGTCTCGGCATCAGTCGCCGAGGAACGAGGAGTGGTTTTTGCAAAACTTGGACCCAGCCCTCAGAAGGTGTTCGAAAAATCCCGACCGTCTTTGAAAGCTTCCAAAGATCCTCATCTTAATTTCCCCACCTTCCTCTGAGGTTCTATGCGCCAGCCTACTTCCCGACGCTCCTGACCCTAAGTGCCTGCTTCACAGGAAGGTCCACGAACCGAAGTTCCCGAACCCGAAATTCCCGAAATCCTTTGAAGCTGCGGGTTTGCCAGGGTTGTACGGTTGCACGTGTCGAGATCCTGAAGGCCTGAGACCCTACATCTGAAGCGCCAATTCGAGAATCTAACACCTTATCATTCGGATGATGCTGAGATGCTGCAACCCTAGACTCTGCTGCAGAACAGACGCTCTAGCTCCTGAACTGTGAGCCCCGAATCCTTCAACAATTCAGTGTCCTTGTCGAGCAGGGGCTCTCCTTCCTACGGCAGGTGAGTTGAGAGCGCTCTAGGGTTCGCGGTTTCAGAGTTGCAGGTCCTAGGAATCTAGGACCTAGGGCTTTTACTTTGAATTCGTTTGAGTGTGACGTCTGGCAACCTCGAATCCACGGGCGAATAGTCTTTACAAGCGCTGCCGCGCTTCCAGGACCAAGAGTCGGTTCCAGGTTTCGCTGTCTCACCGGCAGAGCGCTGGATGAAAGGAAGGGAGCATCGGAGCATCTTGCTTTGTTGCTGTTGCCTTTGGTGTCTCTGCGAGATTTTCAATGACACCCCGGATCCATGTTGCAGAGTCCTTTGTTTCACTTGTGGCCTGTGCGTACCCCGCTCACTGTCCCAGCTGACAGCTAGCCGACATGACAATGACATTGATGTCGGTATAGGGTTTTCAGAGTAGTCGGTTCAAGCTCACAGCAGTTCGAGCCTACCAGTACATCGCCGTGGGCTTGTACATCATTGCCGGCAAGCGCACATAGCCCTTTTACAATGAGGGGCGATGTGCACACGACTTAGCGAATTCGCGAGCCTCGTCATCCTCCAATGAAGCAGTATGCATGTGCCCTTTGTTTCCGCCGTGTGACCCTTCTGCAACTAGCATGAGCGATGTACTTAGCTACGACTTCAGCAGTCAACGGAAATCTAAAAGGATTTCAAAAGCGTTGGAGTTCATGAGCAGCTTCGCAGCTGTGGCAGCCACCTAGCCCTGCGCCACAAACTCATGGCGCCTGGGGAGGAGATTGCCCGGTCCTGTGCAGTAGTTCGTTTGCGGTGAAGGAAGGCATCGACAACCCCATCAGAAGTCTCACATCGAACAAGTGTTTGCCAAAAGATGCAGGTTCCAGCTAAACCCTAAAACCCTTGCCTGCCTGTGCGAGTGTGAGCGTCGAAATGGATTGTCCGAGTGTGAGCACCGAAACCCTGTTGTGTCGCTGTGTTGGTGGTTGGTGGTTGGACGGTTGCTATGGAGCAGAGCAAGGCTGTTGCTGGTCTCCGTCGCTTTGAGGTGCCAGACTCCTTGGCCACGGCCAGCTTCAAGGCGAGTGTTATTGGTACCAGTACTATTGTTGATAACTATAATGAATAATACTAATATTGTTTTCCCAGATTACTGTTATTAATATTATTGACATTCTCAAAAATGTTATTGATATCATTATTAATATCTTTTTGGCTTTTGAGTGACATGACTGCGGTTTGTTGCCTCGCAGGCGCCTCCGCCCTCCAAGGCGGTTAGCCAGGCGGGAATTGCTAGCGAGACTGCCAGCTTTGAGGAAGTGCAGATTTAAACAGAGACATTCTCGCAGGTGCCACCGAAGGCAATCAGCCAGGCTCGGAGTCAACAGCAACAACAGATACTAGAGGACAGTTCTGTGATCTGCGCTCCCCGTGCAGAAACTTGACATGACAGACTAAGCTCAGATAGACGCCGGCCTTCAGGGAGGAGAGGTTTCAAATCATCGGAGACCTGCAAACAGAAGGGATTTCGTGCAAGCAGGGTCCGGCTCGTGTTCAGGAGCATGCAAAGTTGGGAGTTTTGTTGAATCATTTTCCACGCGCAGCTTGTGCTAGAAGCAGCAACCGGACAAAAGAAGTGGGGGTCACCAAGATAAATGTGATAAGTAGCTGCTACCTACTTCCATCACACTGATGTTGATCAGTCTTGCCATAGCCAGCGGACGTTTCATACATGCCACATGTCATCTCATGTTCAGCATTTGTTGGGTTGAGCCGTAGCTCACCGACCTCTCAGCACATGCACAGCGTTGGGAAACATGCGTGTGACTCTCAGCAGCTTCAAGTTTTCAAGCTTTACGACCCTTGATCACTTTCGAAGCGGCTTAGGCCACAGTGCCCGCAAATGGACGCTTTTTGAAAGCATCATTCATACCAGCTGATGAACACACCCACGCAGACAATAACGGAGCCGACGATGAAGCTGCCATCTTATTGTCCCTTTAACGGATGTAGCTGCTATGCGACGAGCTGCAACATGCTGCGCCCGTTAAATCTTTATCCTGCAGTCGTCAACATCGTGGCCTGAATCATGGGGCTGATGTGTCGTGTGCCACAGGCGCCGGCCACAGTGCCAGCCACAGTGCCGGCTACCGTGCCGCCCACTGTACCATCGCCGACACCGGTGCCGCCGAAGGCAGTAAGCCAGGTGCCTTGGCATGCGAGACATGCTGAGAGGCTGAGATTGTCAATTTTGGGCTTGCCCGGAAGAATCAAAACCCAACCAATGCAGGTGCCGGAGATGCAAGCTGCGCAGGCCAAAGCTGGCTTCAAGGCGCCATAGTTTCTTGCAAATCGGAGAGCCATGCATTTTGACTTATTCGCCAACGTGTGCAGGGCCACTCTTGCGCAAGCAACGTACAGTAACAGAGAGCGAGACGTGTTGCCCAAGCGAAGATCTCACGTTCAAGCCGTTTAGTTGGTGCGACTTTCCTGCTTCATGCCTCAAGCACGACGATTGGTTTCAGTCCCCTCACGGTGTACACAGAAGCTGCCAGTGATCACAGCATGGCCAACTGATTAGCCCTCGTCCGATCAATTGCCTGCCAGGCGGCACCTGTCATGGCCCCGACACCGCCAGTGACACCCGTGGCAACCGTGGCAGGGATCTTAGTTTTTTTTTGTGAGGGTTTTCTGAACGAGTTCTGTTGTCGGGTCAGCAGACATCAATCCTTTAGGCCTTCGCTTGCAGCACAGGTGCCCGCGGCTACCCCTGCACCAGCGCCTGCTGCAGTGCCTACACCGCTCGTCGACCCGGGGCACATCGATCCTTCTTGGGAGGTGGGGATTCGGAGACCCTTCGGGCACTTGCACAGTCTCACTAGCACGTGTCCGAAATGCAAACAGGTCCCGACCGCGGATGAGTCGGCCGTGCCTAAGGACGACGACGGTGAGGGCCCACGGCTCGGAGTTATTCGCGGCAATACGGCAAGCGGCAATCCGATACGGCTGATCCTAAGGATGGCTAGAGCTTCTCCGGGATGGCTGGGACCTCATCGGAGTCCGCAGAACGAGCTGCATTTTCTACGCATGCACTAAAGCAAGGACACCCACCAAAAAGGACTGTCATAGGGCAAATTACGCACTCGAAGGTAGGGCAAAAGTCAGTCCGTTGTTTAGTGCACGGCAACGAAAATCGCGAAATTACCTGAAAGTGCGATTTGGTGGAGTTGTAGACCAATGCTGCAAAAGCGCTGCAGGTTGTAGGTGCCAGCGCATTTGCACGAAGGCAACAGGACTTTCTTCTGCCCCTACAACATTGAGAAGAGGGGCGAGGATGTTCAAATAATGCAGAAAGCCGGCAGATCAAACACACAAGCATCCTTTCAAATGCTGTTTTTGAACTCGTCGGATGCTTGTGGCAACTGAAGACCTGCAGGGTCTCCAAAACCAACATCATCCATACACCTACTGAATCGCATCCAGCATTTTGACCGCTCGGGAGTTCGGCTGATCGTTAGGGTTTGAGGTTTTGAAATCTGCATGGGCAGGAATGGCAAAGAACGAGCTGGCGTACTGCACTTGTAGCTTGACAGGGAATGACATAGCATCTAATGTAAAGAGATGACATCGAACAGATCCCCGTCACGCTGGTCCGCCAGAGTGCAGCCGATTGTTATGCGTTCGGCATGAGCTCAGGCTACTTCCGACAGATGCGAGAGGACTGCAAGCTAAAGCTCCTGGAACTTATTCACTCAACAGGCTGAGTATATCAGACATGGCCCTCCTTGCGCCGTTCCAACTCTTTCTCCTAATTGCTTGTCCGTTGACACCGTCTTGCCGGCGGTGGCACGCAGCCGCAGATGGGTTTAGAGTTTAGACCCCTGTGGAGAGAAGAATAAGAAGAGAAGACTACAAAGAAAAAAGATCGGACCACCGGCACTGAAATCTTTGGTCTCACTCGCTCCCCGCATGCATGCAGGGAGTCTTCTCTTTCATCCGGTATGCATCGTAGAGTCGTAGAGCACGGCTGCGTGAGATGATGCTTTTGATTTGAGTCCAAAGACTGTGGCCGACTGTGTGACAACCAGTTGGGATGGAAAGCGACTCACCGAGTGCACAAAGCTGCCGGCCATCCAAACTAACAAAAAACGGAGAGCATGAGAGAAAGGTGCATGTGTGCTGAGGTAGCTTCTGATTTGATTGAACCCAAGCCAAAGCCGCGTTTGGACACGGACGGCAATCGTCCTTTACAGCCGTTCGCAGTGTGCAGCAAGGAAGGTCTGCCAGGGAAATACTTTGGGTCCTGCCACCACATTGAAACTTAGCGCACAGAAATCGAAACCTCAGCTTTGTGGCCGGCACTACGGCCTGGTCCAATGATACTCGGTGTTCCATCTCAACACCATTTCTTCCTAAGTGTCTCCATGTTCTCGCAGCGGACAAAGATCCATTGAAGGAGAACGAGTTCAAGCAGCCACCGCCTTATCCGCGGGTTATGAATTTCGCTGCTACGCCTGGGCGACTTGGCTGATCTAGTCGATACAATATTTCTCATGCCGCATCTCATCAGTTCGCGAGTGTGCAGTCAAACCGTGACGAGCCGAGCCTCTGTGCAGGCACCCAGTCCCACCGGGCAAATATCCGCGTGTCGCAAGGAGCCCGGATAATTTTGGCGCTCGGACCGACGCCTGGGACGTTTTGGTTGCACAAGGACGAGAAGGCTGCGCAAAGCATCAAACCTGAGTCCCTGCATCGATTTAGTGGCCTTTTGACGCCAAGGCCCTAGAGTTGCAGCGGCAGGTGCTGATGAAGCCAGGTTCTCAGAGTTTCACTCCGACGTTTTCGAGAGATATCGTGGTCTTCAGGATTCACCTGTGCATTCGTAGAAACCGCGGCGGACAGCGTCCTTAAGCTCTTTCGTTGCCAGTTGCTGCTCTTTGACCGGCTGTTGCGGCCCTTTGGGAGTTTCCGAAAATAGGGGGCCCTAATACTGCACCCTATATAGTAGGATCTGTATTATAAAGACACCAAAATAGAGTCTCCAATTATTTTCGGAGACTCCCATCTGCCATCAAGTTGACCGGCCGATGGCTTCCAAGGTTTAGACCAGACCCACCGAATCCGGCTAAGCGCCGCCCTCAGCAGGTGTTTTTGCTTTCTACCCTTCGTATGCAGCGCAAAATTTTAGAAGCGGTATGACGCATTGGACGATCGTTGAGTATTGACGCAGATGGACACAAGTGGCATCAAATGACCGGTTATCGCTGTGCAGGCATTTTCTGCTGCTCTGTAAAGTTCACTGGGTCGTTTCGGTTCTCTGGCCGACGCTGCGGAAGCCGTGCTCGTTGTTTGTGCTTGTGGGTTACCGTTACAAGTTTCGCCAGGGGAAAAGGCTTCGGCAAGGGCGGAAAGGGAATGGACCCCGCCTCAGTACTGGGTTTCGCAGCAGGCAGGTCTTCCCTTTTTTGCCTCGCCGCGTTGTCCGGAAAATTCAGCCGAGATGGGCATGGGCATGATGGGCGACTGGATGATGGGCGGCTGGGGCGATTGGGGAATGGACTGGGGCATGATGGACATGATGGCCTGTTCCTCAGACTGTGCATACGAATCGCGTAGAGTCTAGTCTGTCTGACAATAGTTGGACCACGACGGCTTCCTTGCCTCGCAGTGCCTTCTTAGGGAATGAAAGGAGGATGCCAAAGCCTGAGAGTTGGGATCCATCTGACGGTTCCATGGTGTCCGCGATTTTTGATTGCAGATATCCAGGCCTCAAGTACACCCGTGATTGCTGCGAGTACCTAGCCTCATCCTGTTCTGTGCGAGCTTTGGATTGTCAGGGGGCAAGGGCAAGGGTCGTGCCGCCGCGCTTCACTAGGGCCTGGATTAAACGTTGGATTGTCCTCAGTTGCAATGCTGTATTCGCGCGTCTTGTCTTAGAGACTCTCTGTGAGCCCTAAAGCCATGGAGCGGCAGAGGGATCGAGCGATGGACCTACTGCTCCGTCTGTGTCTGCGCTCATTCAAGTAGCTGCAGCTTAGCACGTGCGAGATGCCAATGGCAGGTGGAATGGGAAAGAAAGGCTCCTTCGCTGCAGAGCGACCCAAAACCCTACATTAGGCATTGCGCGTGACGGTCGAAATCCTATGTCCTATGCATCCCCAAAGACCCAAGAGGGTTCCCAGAGCACCACTTCGGAAGATCCAGAGCAAGTGGATTCTCTCAAGAAATTGGGGTCATTTGGACTCCCGACTGGCAGTTACTTGCACTGTTCGCAAATGCTATCCTGGTCTGTTGGCAGGGATGGACATCATAACTCAGGAATACGCGCGACATGCAAGGAAGCGTTGCAGCGAGCACAGTGTAGTATGACCCTCAATGTGCTGTTGTGCTACCGGGAGGTATGCCGTATTGAGACGCAGCTGCGCAGAGAGCATCAGCGGCTCTGAAAACAGGTCGTGCAGATCGAGTCATGACTCGAGACCCCGCATCGTTGCGTGTCTCCTGCGTGCAACATTGCCAACCCGGAAACATAGACAGCCTAGTTCCGAAGTCCGTGCACCCTGCCTCTGCCTAGACCACCATACGTAGGTCATCTAACGAGCCTCATGCCGCTGTGCTTTTCAGCTTCATACTTGAGTTTGTAGTGATGATGTGTCTGTGTGGCAAGTCACTGCAGCAGAAGAAATGATCGTGAAGTCAGCACAGCAGCTGCCATTCGTTTTTAGTGCTCTCGTTAGCATTCTCCTGGTTCTGTTCCTGTTGCTACTAATGAGACCAAACCAAACCTTAGGATGTCTCTTCAGCTTTAGTGCTCCACGAACACGAAGCAAGCTTCATGAGTCGCTTGTACCATTTGTCTTGAGCTGCTTTCTGACCTGCGGCGCGGCGCGCAGCAGCCTCAGCGGGTTAAGGCTCCATTCTTGGTGATAGCGCCGTCCTGCACTGAGGTCATGCCAGGTCAACCTGAACTCCGGGGAAGACAAGGCACTTCCGTTGATTCGACTCGGCTTTCACTCAGAATCAGCTAAGCACCGCCGCAGGTTCCAAAGATCTATCCGAAGAGATCGAGAACCTGTGGGCCGATCGCCTTAGTTCTGTCATCGTCTCAGAGGGCTTGATTCCTGCTCGCCAGGGACTTGCATTCAGCGGACGAACGATGAACGAAGCACGATACACGCTGCAAGATGCACTGTCTGCCTCATCAGCGCGGAAGGTGGCGCAGCAAGTGCAGCAGCACCTCGCAGATCTGCACAAGCCTGGGACCTGGCATCCGACTTCTTGGGGTTTAATTCGTGAGGGGCAGCAAAAGAAGGCGCCAAGCCACAATGACCGTGAGTAACCTCATTCGCGACTGTTTCCAGCTTTCCAGGCAGCTGTGCGCTGACCACCGTCTGGCGGTGCATGGACTGCAGATTCAGGCTGACAAGGTGCCATCCCCATCCACTCGCACTCAACTCATGGGCGACCTACGACCTATATGTGTCCCGCCTAGCAAAAACCCGAGACCCTCAGCAGCTATGCTCCGTCTGGGTTGCAGCCTTGTATGTGGAATCAGGCCATGGGCCACGAGTTGTCGAAGGATGGCAGCAGCGAGACCCCTGGTGCCTGCGTGTTTGCTTGGCCTGCAGAACAGCGAAAGTAGGGAGGTCAGGCGTTCGGAGCAGTGGATGCAAGTGAGATTCATGAAAGTCCGTGGCAAGGCTCGCCATTGAGCCGGAGGCTGCAGTCTAAGTTGCCTGCCTTTTTGCAAATCCCCTCGGTGCTGACAAAGGGCTTCGGCCTCCACAGGTCTCCAGCGCGTACGGTGACACTGGGAATGGGCCTGGGCCCCTGGGGCTGAGGATGCCGAACCAGTCTTTTGCAGATCGCTCTGTTTGAGAGCTTCCTACTGGCTGGCACGGGGAGGGCGAGGGTGGAGCGCGAAAGACAGAACACGGGAGGCGGAGCAGCCTGCAAATCGCCTTCTTCCCTTTCAGTCTAACGTTGCAGTATCTCCTTCAGCCTGAAGCCGCCCTTGGGTCCTGCATTCCTGCATCTCCCGTCTGCCCGCTGTTTCTGCTGTCCGGAAAGAGCACGTTTGCGCAACTCAACAGTCTTCTTGCAGCGTGCGTTTGCTGGAGGGTCTTGGGTGCCCCGGTTCTAGTCGGGGCAGAGCTTTGATCAACTGCAGAAGTTTGAGACCCTACATCAACACTCGATAAGCCGCAGTTGGCTTCAGTCTCTTGTCTCATTCAGAGTAGTTCTCGCATTTTTGGCTTTCAAGTGCAGTGGGAAAAGCAACTCGTAGCAGCACAGTTCAGAGTCGGCGTCGGAAGGCCATCCAAAAAGGCAGTGCATGCGGAAGTTCCCTGATGCCCCAAATCACCAAGTGTAGGAACCACAGGCAGTCACAGTCTCAATGACTCCCATGCGGAATCACGGCAGAGCAGATTCCTGGGCAACTGAGGACGAGCAGGGCTGCCGAGGAGAAGTGGTACAGCAGCAACTTGAATGAAGTTTGCTGCACGAGCCGTAGAAGCACTGTGTTTTTCCTCGCTTTGGCTCCCTTTGCGATTAAGGGCGAAGAAAACTGAACCGGTTGCCTGTCTCATCCGAGGAAATTTCGCATCATGGCTCCGAGGCCTGAAAGATGCATTGCGTTTTTTTAGTTGTGTAGAACGAGTCTGAAAGTTTGTGCGTTAGCCAACGAGAGACGAAAGAGGTGAGAGGGGTCTTTGGCGGATTTGTCGGCTCAACGCCCTGCATGTTGGAGTGCTTCGACGACCCACCTGCTCAACCTACTCAAAGAACCGATCCTTGCACCGCAGATCCAATGCGTGCATCCCACTGGTGTTCTGACGGGATGCAGTGGCATGAACGATGCGCACACTTGCATGCAAGGATGCGGAGGTGGATTTGTCAACGTTCAGCCTGAGATCCCACATGAAGGCGAACGGAGTCTGGCAGATAGGGAAAGCCTTGCACAGAAGTAAGTAACTAACATTTGCAATTCTTGAAGGGTTCACATGACTTTCTCGGCAGGTTGAGTCTTCCTCTGCATTTAGTTCTCTGCGTTTCTCGTTCATGCTTTTTTCTACATGAAGGGGTGGAGTGCGAGAATCGACTCTTGAGCACACGCATCAAGTGTCCTCGCCGCAGTCTGGTAACACTCTCATCGACGTCTGGCCCGTGTGGAAGGAGCCTTTCTGCTCTCGCTGCGCCTTTGGCTGGGCTTGCATGAACGCACATTTTTTCGAAAGTCTACTGCTTGGAGTCACACGAACAGGATGATGCAGAGGGTGCCGACTTGATTCGGGACATGGCCAAAGAGAAGTCCATGCTGGTCAAGGCCTGCCCACTGGAAGTCGTCGCATGCTCCTGCTGTCGTGTAAGCGCGGAAGGGCTGCTGCTTGTGTTTGCTTCTTCGTGCTTTACTCATCTAAGTTTGAGGCCAGGGTTTTTCCAAACTGCCAGATCCAGTCGGCTTGACCTTTTCTGGACTGGTTTGCAGCACTTGCAGGCTCAGGTAGAACTCTCTGTGAGGGCTCGGAAGCTTGGCGGACTTCAAGTTGAAGGTGGATGAATCCAACAAGGCAACGGAATTGCCCCTGCTCCGCATCTGCGGCACTGTTCAGCAGAATCCACATATGCGAGCGTTCTGGGGAAGCGTCTTGCTCAGGCTTGCAATTGGTGCGGCTCTGAGAACCTCGCAACTTGGCATCACATTGCATGGGAATGTCCTCATTTTGCTCAAACGAGACCTGCTCGAGTTCCTGACAGTGTTTTGACTCAGCGCCTGGGTTGGCCCTGCCGGCCTTTGAAGTCTGAGCACAACGAAGAGATTCTGGAGCACCTGGCTACGGTTCGCGAGACCGTGCGCCGGGCTGATGGTTTCCGCGGCTAGCCTTCGGGCACCTGGGTTGAGCTGTCCTTGAGGCGCTCAGCCTAACAAGCCACCACTCCTCGCCTTCTTGGGTTGGTTCGCTCTCGCCCCATTGGGGGCTGGAGGTGGCCACCAGCATCAATATGTGTGAGAACCAGAAGTTCCCACCCGCCGAGAATCCATTGCGGCCGGCCTATCTGAAGTACAAAAACCTGAAGACAGGTCTGGAGTACTGCCAGTATGGCAAGGTCAAGGATGGTGATGTCATCACGGACTGTGCAGCAGTTCCAGCTGATATCATGAGCAGTGCCACTGCGACTGCGCCTTCAGTCCTGGCCAAATGTGTGTGCACGACGGGAACCGAGTGCAACGGCATGATAGCGAATGCAGGCGTTGCAGCTGTTGCTTCCACCATCTTCGTTCGCATCGCTCTGGGCACCCTGCTGGAGCGCTTCGGTCCAGTGAACGTGCAAGCCAGCCTGTTCACTTTCGGAGCGTTCTGGGTGGCTATGGCCGCGGCCATCTCCGCTCCTTGGAATTACGCGCTGATTCGCTTCTTCATCGGTTGTGCAGGACCTATGTTTCCCTGAGCTATGTTACAGCGTCCCGTTGAAATCACTCAGCCCCCTGTGAAGGAGCCACTTTCGTGACCAGCCAGTTCTGGTGTTCCTTGATGTTCGCGCCCAATGTGATTGGAACTGCAAACGCTACAGCAGCTGGATGGGGAAATCTGGGCGGTGGTGTCACTCAGATCTTCATGATTAGCGTCCTCTTTAACCCCATGGTGAGCTCGGGAATGGCAGCTGACACAGCCTGGCGAGTGGCCATGATCGTGCCTGCCGTTCTCTTTGTCATCACGGCGGTGTGCTTGAAGCTGCTGTGCTGGGACACCCCCACCGCAAAGAGGTTCGACGTGTCCGTGACGGGCAAGACTAAGAAGCCATCCCTGTGGTCCCTGTGGGACTACGTTGAAGTGTGCTCGGACTTCCGGGTACTTGTCATGATCATGCAGTGGCCAAGCTGCAAACAGTCATCGATCTAGCCAATTGCTCCGGAAGGGATTAAGCAGTATGACCACGCAGCACTGCTGGCCTAACCGCAGCCAGTCAATGCTGTCTGCATGGATGATGTTGTTTTGCCTGTGCCGGTTTCTTCATCTGTTGCCAGCCAGGTACTCGGCTTGCTTCGGCTACGCCACCTTGCCGCTGTCAGACAGGCAGTGCTTGATAAGGTTTATGCTCCCCTCCCGTAGGGTGTTGGCTTTGGGGTCTTTTCCCTCCGGTTCTTGCTGCCCTTAGGTGGGTTTAGTCCCCCCTTGTTGGCCATGTGCACATTGCAAGTATTCGCACGGAGCTGGCGATGAACAACCAGTTGGCCACGCACTTCAGGACCTACTTCCAGATGGATGCGGCAGATGCTTCTGCCTTAGCAGGAGCGTTTGGCCTTATGAATCTCTTTGCCAGGCCGGTCTTGCCTAATAACCTCAAGGGTTTGCTTCAGTGATTGAGCTCTTGTACTGCCTGTTCGCCGTGGGCGAGTCAGTTAGCACCGACTCGATTATGAATCTCTTTGCCAGGTCCTTGGGTGGAATCACAAGCGACATCCTCTTCAAGTACATGGGATTCCGCGGCCGCATTTGGGCGCAATTCTTGTCCCTCTTCTTTGAAGCCATCTTCCTCTTTTGCTTCGGCTTGGTGGACAACTCCAGCCGTGGTACGTGGCCTTGGCCGTGCTTGTGTGCTTCTCCCTGTTTGTCCAGATGGCAGAGGGAACCAGCTACGGCATCGTGCCTTTCATGAACAGGCAGCAACTGGCCGTGGTGTCTGCCCTTGTTGGGGCCGGAGGGAATTTGGGAGCTGTCATTGCAGGCTTTTGCTTCTACAGGCCGATTGATGATCCCCTGCTTCCATTCCAAGTGCGCGCTGGCTACGTAATGTTCTGGGCATTGCTCAGCCCTTGCTACTACTGGGCGGAGCACGGTGGCATGTTCCATGGCCCTAAAGAGGTGACGGCAGAGAAGGGTGCCGGAGAAACCCAGGCGTAGAAGCGCGACAAGGTACTCCTTGTGGCAATGACTGCCGCGCTGCTGTAGAGTTAGAGCTTTCTCACTCCAGTCACTAGAGTGACTAAGTCTATGTGGGCAAAGTGTTTGCAAGTGCATAGTCTTTTCTGTCGAAGGACGAAGTCCTGTTGACCGCATTGCAGCTTAGCGTATCTTGGCGTGGAGTGCAGGGTCGCAAGCCACGCACGGAGTGCAGGGTTGCAGGTGCAGATGGGCAGACAATTTCGCGGAAAAGTTCACTGCGGATGCTCAGACTCAGAGTTTAAGATGCCTCCACGTCGTTGTTATGGCATCTCATAACTTATGACGGTTTTTGCAGCACTTGCAGGCTCAGGTAGAATTCTCTGTGGGGGCTCGTAAGCATGGCGGACTTCAAGTTGAAGGTGGATGAATCCAACAAGGCAACGGAGTTGCCCGTGCTGCGCATCTGCGGCACTGTTCAGCAGAATCCACATATGCGTGAAGTCAACAAACTTTGCGATGAAGCTGCAAAGCGCGTCGTGAACCGTCGGTGTGCCGGCTCGACGCCACCTGCATGGACCGCCAGTCTGGAAGCTGCGAAAAAGTGGCAACTGCAGGTGCTCACTGGTGACTCGCAGATCGCCGAAGCCTATGCTCAACATGCGCAGGGACTTCGATAATGGTGGTGATCTTGGGCGTTGAGGGCATCTTGGTGGCACCCTGGCATCGACAACAAAAACTTACTGATCTACATGTGCGAGCGTTCTGGCCAAGCGTTTCTTCCTTCTGTCTTGACTTCTTGAGTGGACCACTCGCAGCCATGGTGCACGGCTTTGGCAGTGCTGGTGTGCTTCGCCCTCTTCGTCCGGATGGTTGAGGGAACGACGGCATGGTGCCTTTTATGAACGCTCACGTGTGCTCGGCCCTGCGCTGGCCGTGTGCAGCCCTGTGCTGCTCTTACTCACGTACCTGTGACCTTGAACCCCATGTCAAGTTGGGTCACCTCAAAGTAGTATGCCTTTCATGAACAGGCCACAGCTGGCCGCGGTGTTCGCCCTCGTTGGGGCGGGAGGAAATTTGGGTGCCATCATCGCAGGGTTCTGTTTCTACAGGCCCATCAATGATCTCCTGTGAGCAAGTCAAGCGCCGCAGCAGGTACAAAGATTTCATTGCATGAAATCTTTATACCTGCTGCTCCCCTTTTATGTGCATGTCCGGCTATGTGATGTTCTGGCATTGCTCAGCCCTTACTACTGATGGAGGTCGGCTCCTCTTTCTTCTATCGAAGGAGCACGGAGGCATGTTCGACTGCCCGGCCGTGGCAGAACCGGAGAAGTCCGAGGCTAAGGTGGCTGAGACCACCGTGTATTTGCACGCGAGTTCGAAGTCGCATCAAAGTATTTTCTGCCGCAGGAGGAACCTGCTCAGGGGCTCGACATAGGCTTCTGGATATGGATTTTCCGAAATTCAGGGTACCATATTTTGGGGTCCTTATAATAACGATCCTACAAAAATTTGGTGTACTATATTAGGGTCCCCTATTTTCGAAGCCCCCGTATCGGGTTCCAGCAAACTTGTCGGCTTGTGCCCTTCCGAAGGATGGGCACAGGACGGGCACGAGCATGATTCTCGCCGATCGCGCCAACAAGTTGAGCCCAGGGTTTTCCTAAAGTGCCAGATCCAGGTGGCTTAATCTTTTTGGGCTGTTTTGCAGCTTTTGCAGGTTCAGGTCGAAAGGCAGGCACTTCAGCTAGCATGGAGGGCTTCCTTCATGAGTTGTGCTGACTGCAACCACTCCGTATTGGGCTCAGGCGCAGCAGCAAATTGGGCCTGGACCTTTGATAGCGTTGCCTGGTAACGGCTTCAGCGCAGTTCAGGGCAGCCACAACGACCTTGAAGCCTTTATAGCTTTCGCGACTTTGCTTCGTAATCGTCTGCATTGCCAATCTCAGCGCAGTGCTCCGCTACAGCCCAACTACACTCGCTGCTGCAGGTCTGAGAGCCTGAATCCCCAGCTCCTTCGGTGCGGGACGTCGCTGCCAGAGATAACGGTGGAATCGTGGGCAATCAGGTGGGTGAGCTGGCAACTCTTTGAACCATGAAGTTGTATAAGTTCAGCAGTAAGGAGGAGTCGACTTCAGGCCCTCAAGCTTGAAGTTCCTCGTTTGGAACTTTCTGTTCCTAGTCGTCTTATTCTACGACTGCGCAGCTGCCTCGGAAGAGCAGAGCATCATGGCTGAGCTGCGCCGTCGGTCGAGACGACCAGACTTGGTCCGACTTTCTCTTGCCCATGCCTCGTTGCCCTCGCCTAGAGTCGCTTGTGTCGCTCAGGTGAGTTTCCCACTCTCGGCCTTCAACATCGAGTGCCGCGGCAATGCCATTACCACCACACAACAGTCACGACATGTCAGTTTACGGTGAGACGTCGGTCGTGCCTTCTTCCTCTGAGGCACCTCTTCGTCCTTCCAAACATGGTTGCGGCCTGGGGCCCGGCCCAAACCTGACGCCGTCAGTTTGTGTGTCTCTCTCGGAGGTGTGTAACAGTGCAAGCTAGAGTACGGTGCAAAACAGCCTGTGTTAATGAGGCCCTTTGGATGTTCTTCCATGACCAGTCAGTCCCAACAACCCTCATGATGAAGCTTTCATGATAAGTGAGGCTTCATTCTGGACGGCGGACTTTATCCTGTCTTTCTTCGTTGGGTACCGCGGCACAAAGCTTCGCCGTGCTGAAGCGCACCTTCACTGCAGGACTGTAGGAGCCTGGCAGGTACGATACTGCAGATGGGCAAGTGGAAACACGCTTGGTCAAGGCACGCCTTGCAACCTTCGTTGGCTGTTACTGGAGCTCCTGAGGCATCAGGACGGCAAGGATTGCGGTTCAAGTTCATGTCGGCAATCAAGCTGCTCACTTTCTTGCATTGCCTTATGCAGAAAGTTCTCTCCCTGCTCAGACGGCGGGCCGCTATGCCAGGCTCCGTCGCGGTGCATTCTGCGTACGTGCCATCACGTGCCTGTTGCTACAGTAGCGACTAATCGAGAGGTCCAAGAGGCGTCAAGATGTAGACAAGGGGCATAAGTGGCGTTGCCACGATTTGTCCATTTCGGGGAGCATCGCCGCACGCAGAATCTGCGCTCCCAACTAGATTTCTTCCAAGTACAGAGTGCAACATACCAAGGGCAGAGCACCGCTCGAGGGCATGGCTGCTGTATCGTCAGTTCGTGCAGGATGTTGCGGAGTGGTAGCGGTCGGCAGTCTGGCAGCAGGACTTGGATGCTCCCAGATCTGGTTGTCATCGTGGTGGACTGGATCATGTCCGGAGCCACAGACGCCGGCGGTTTCGTCACATTTCGCACGCACATCTAGAGTTGCCAGAGTTGTTGCCTTGCTTTCACAAGGCTGGCTTCAGCACTTGGCTCTCAACTTGAAGACACCGGCAGCACAAACCCGGCAGGCGAGTGCAGCCGGCCTATCCTTTGAAGTCCGTTTGTCGCACCTCGTTCTTTCTTGGCAGGCTTTGCACGAATCGGAAAATCCGTTCGCTACATGAGGACAGCCTGATTCGGTGTGCTCTCTGGATTTCATGGAACGATTCCACAACTGTTTCTGCGATGATTGCAGAGTTGGTTTCTGGTGGGCCGTGCCGATCCTGTCGCAGCCCTGCTTGAGCCCGTCAGCTGACGTTTGGACGCTCAGATGAGTTCAATTGTATCCAGCTTGCCTGCAGGATCATGAGGGTTATGCGGCTGCTTCGTCTCCGAAGGTTTCAGGAGGCCACAGCATCTTGCGAGAGGGACTGATTCTTATTGCACCCACGGGGAAGCTGAAGATTGGTAAGTTCGATCCACCGGTCTTCCCCAGCCTCTCATAATACGAGCGAACCAGTAGGAGTTGGACACAGATGAACTGCATATTATGAATGTATCCATGTTACTGTGTGTAGTACGAACTCCCACCAGAACATGGTTCTTCCGGAGCAGCACAACGACAAAAGAGTTCGTCAAAGTGTCGGGGTTCAAGCCCTCATGGTCTTTGCCAGTATTACGAATGCTGTTTGTTTTCCACCAACATTCATGGTCGTGACGGATCTGCCAAATCCCAGACCCATGACCTTTCTGGCGATTGGCATTCCAAGGCTCTCCACCAGTTTGACGAGCCGGGGCCACAACAACAAGGGCATCATCCATTAACTCACGAAGACGTGCGTGTTTCAGTCGCAGTTTTGACCATTCTGCCATGTGTGTTTTACTTGAGAAAGGTTCATAAATATTCAGTACTTCTCCATCATCCAAAAGCTCATCATGCCTGAGCCCCAGTATTCGTGCTGGTTCTTCCTGCTTTTCGGTCTTGGAGCAGTATGCGCAATCACATGATCACATGAGAGGGTTAGAGCCCGCCAGCCTTGGGCTGGACTGGAAGCATCAGTTTGCAGCAGTCTCGCATTGACCACGTTGCCAGGAATATGGTGTGGATCCTGTTGTTGCCACACGGCTTGAACCAGTTTGTGTGGGCTTGCAGGCGATGGTGCTCGAGATGGGGTCACGGTCAAGGTATCGTATATTGATTTAAAAGCAGGCGGTTGTCGAAACTGGCGAATGCTAGCAGTGACCTGTAAAACGACAGGGGAAACCCTAAAGACGATACCCTCAATATCCCCCGATACATTGTGACCCTTGGCCCCTGGTTTCTTTCAAGAGAGGGTGTCAGCAGTTTAGGTTTTAGTCAGGGTGTCGAGGTTGTCGGGATGGAAGTCTGGAGGTTGGACGACTTTCCTACATTGGACAGCAGGATGCCCGAACGATACCCAAAATGTAGCCGCGAGTGGCCGAGACGGGCCCGTGTGGCCGTTCATGTACCGTGCCAGTACTACTCCTTGGGCGAAGCCCGAAAGCCGTAAAACTCACGACTCCAAAAAGTCCAAACATCTGTCGGAATCCTCGAAGCTTAAGCCCCAGGCCTAAACCAACTCTCTGAATCACAAAAGGCTTCGTATATGCTCTCAGACACCAGTTCTTCATGATTGCATGATCCCGCGCCCTGTCGAAATGCAAATCAGACGGAGCGCAAAACCCAAAGGCCGCGATGACATCAAAAGGCCCCAAAGACCGCCACCCAAGGTCACACCCTGGAATGCTGCATGTTGTATATACTGAATCTCCCTACTCTAAAGCAGTGTATCGTTTGTTCCAGTATGCATCAAGTTGCAAGCACTGTAAATCGATAAGGGACGCCCTACCCTGAAACGAAAGTGGCATAAACAAATGATATTGACGCTGGCTCAAACGATATGCTATGTACGTTGGCAAGTCTCGGGAGTCACGTCAGTTGTGTTGCGGAGCTCAAGGATCGTCGTCATTCTAGCATTCGTGCTGCTATGTGCTGCCAAGATCTCACTTCATCGGGTGCGGCTGGTATGCTATTGGTATGGAGATGCTCGACGAGAACGTGATCGAGGCATGCGATCACGAAAGCATGTTTGACGCACGCATCTGCTATCCAACAGAAGCATGCCCAGCTAGATGTCAGCTCAGTCGCGTCATCTCGCAATGTTTCTGCCATGCGTGAGACCGGAGAGCTGTTCGAGGCATCCTGGGTATCGGCCAATGGTCTGGTGGGGGAGCAGCTGATGTACAAGTGACCCGAGATTCGCAGTTTCCCTGCTCTTCGTAGCTTTGGGAGCGGGCAGTTGCAGGACGTTCCAAAGCCGTCGGTTGTTACATACAGCTCGTCGTGGTGCTTCAGTTTGCACAGGTATTTGACGTCCTTGCACTGGTCGATCACACAGTGGCTCTGCTGCACGAGAAAGACCCTGTGTCAAGCCGGAGTTGCTTTTTGGAGATTTGACAGACTACGCCAGTCAGCACCAACATTCGGGCAACGTCAACAGATGAAGGGTCGACTGTTGCAATGCCCGCATGTTTTGTTCCGGCAAACGAAACTACTTGTGCCAGCTGTCACATGTTGCTGTTGTGAATTCAGTTTGGTCGCGAGGGCAAACTCGATCAGCTGGAGGAAACGTCCAGAAAGTAAGTTGGCGTCAGCTAGCCGGAAGCTCATAACACACTGCACCGATCGGGTGACCGTTGTCACAAGGGTTCAAGCGAGTCTGCGTCAGGGCAGGCGCATTAGATGCGCTCTTGCACCATTCGAGAGTGACCTATCCACATCAGGTTCACGCCCGGGTCGATGAACGTCCAACCCGTGAACAGCGCGGGCCTCAACTCAGCAGCGTGACCAAAGGGTTATGCTCCCCTGCCTTGTACATATTTCCCGGTAGATGCTGAAAGCCCCTTCTGCTCCACCGAGCATGCCCAGCAGTACGCGAGAAGCCCGATCATTCGAAGCACTCTTCTAGCGTGGCCTGTTCCGCTGTTTTTCTGGCATCGTCACGCACAGGCTTTGAGCGCTTGTACAGCGTGATAGCCAGCATCCCAGTTTCAGTTTCAGAGAGTGGATTCTTGGTCAGTCTTTGAAGATGTGGATGATGTCGGCTACATTTCCGTCTATCGATGTCTGCTGTACTACACGCAAACACCTTGTTTTTTGCTGTCCGAGTCCTCCATGTTCGCCATTCCTTAGCATAGTTGTTCCGCACCGCAGAAAAACAGGTGCCGTTTGCTCACGCTTCACATTAGCTGCTTGGCATCGCAGTGATTTGCACAAATTCCATGACTCAGCTGATTAGGTGCTGGTTCTCGGAATGGTGGTCTTTTCTTCCACGGTGAGCTCGATCACTGCCGCGACCAACAACCTCAAAGACATCAATGCGTCCGACCCCGAGGGGGATCGATCACTCCCTCCAGTCCAAGAAGACTCCGAAGCCCCGCAATCCGAGGGTTTGAGAGCATGTTCCGCCGGATTCGACCCTCTTTCACATTGTGGGATCTCCTCACCAGCGTAGCTGACCGGTCACTCGTGATAGAAAGCCGGGAATGGCTTCGCTTCGCCCTAAGCCCTACAGGCCCAAGACCCGAAAAGATCGCTAGTTTGAGCAGGCCATGCTATTCTGTTCGGCCTCCGGGGTCATTTGCTGTTTGCTCGCTGTCCGTTGCTTGGGGTTGTGGAACTACGTCAAGTCCCACAGTCCATGCTGTGGCCTCCCTCCCGCGGTTACATGGGGCTTTCGATGGTTTTGTTCTTGGCGGAAGGGCGAGGGGGTGTCGGAGTGGTTTCAATATCCAATGTAGCCTGCGCAGCTTGGGTATGATCGTACAGCGGTCTCGTTGACCGCTCATGTTTTGGGGTCTCGTCTGGCATGCTGCAGAATCGCCTGCAATCCCATCTTTCTACGGAGCGACCCCTTCCGTCGCTTGAGTTCGTTTTGCCATGGCATCGATGCCCACGTTGGCACAAACGTGTTTGCTTTGGGCTTTTGGAGGCCTCTCTGGTAAACATACCATGAGGCTTGAAAACCCTGGACCCGTTCAGCGTGGCAGCGCTTTCTCGCCCCAAGCCCCAGATGCTCCAACTAGGTTTATGATTCTTGATGTGCACAGGTGCCCTGTCGATTCTCCAAGTCTGCCTTGAGACCCACAACTATCTTTGCAGGGTCTACAAGCACCAGATTTGGACTTTACGACGGTACTTCCGCGAGCAGAAGATCTCTGCTCAACTGACCAGCAGGCGCACGCGAAACAAACACCAACGTCACAGTAGGGCTGTCGGTACATGCAGGGAGAGTACAGAGAGAAGCCAATTATGACACGTGCAATCTCTGCCTTGGCAGGGTCTTGAGATACACGGAGTCCATTGTCAAGCCCAGATACCAGAAGGTGGATGTTGGGCAGGCGCGGCTGTCAGCATTGCTTTGAGCCTAGTAGGTTGATGAGTATTTTGTACTCAAGCCTCGGCTCGCTGCTTATCTAAACGAGATGTCGAAATGATTGAGGTCAAAATCATGGCCATGCTGCCGCAGATCTTGACCAAGGAAAAACTTGTGGGTGTTGCAGCGCCATCGTAGCCCAATCGGCTCGGAAGTGCTTGAAGTCCCCGTTATGTTCTCAGGAGGTTAACCTTGAGATTTACGAAAAGCACTTGGTTGTCACGACCTCACTGTCATGCAATCGGGACAGCGTCGGAGATGTCGTGCTCTTAGAAAGGATTGCCCAATATGAGCGTCGGGCCAAATGAGGTTCATCCACTCTTCCAATCCCTCGGTCGACCGCTCAGTTTGGGTGACGAGACGCTACGGGGTTTACGATCAAGTACTTCGTCTGTGCCTGAAACACGTAGACTTAGAAGGGGTTGCCTGGCAAAGCCGCTGTCACGTTGGTACAGGCTCCTAGCCTCGCCAGGACAGGTCCTGATCACCTTTCACTGGTTGGAAGTTTGCTGGTTCATTGAGGTGAAGTCAACGTGAGCTTCATGCAGAAGATTTGCTCAAATGCTCTCAAGGCCTCGCAATGACGGCTGACAATTGCTAAAAGGATGAATGACGGTGGCCTAATGCAGGTAGATGTTGTGGAGAAAGGGGCATCTTGTACCGTAGTCGTCTTCCAGCCCTCCCGTTGTCAAGCGTGTTTTGAGAGTGAAGGAGTCTGCCCTCGACAAGGGTGAGATGGTCTTCGGACCTGGGCAGGTCTGCTCTGCGATGCAACGAACTCAGATTGCTTGAGCTGCTCTTCTCTGAGCTTTCAGTGGCCTTACACTTGGCAGCTTTCCTTTGCGAGCCCACAGTACCTTGTCACCTTACCGTGTTGGATAGTTGGGGGCATGCATGGCAACTCGATGATTATTTAAGTCGACTGCTCCGAGCAGTTGTGCACCACGACAAGGTACTTCGTGACACTGGGAGTTCTGGAGTATTTCTTTTCGCAGGCCACCCTTTCCTTGCCCTCACTCCGCTCCTTGCCTTTGCTGCATTGGTTTGCCAGCAAGTCTGCGCCCTCAGCGGGAGGCAACATTCCCCAACATTGTTGACAAGAAGATGTCGTTTTGCGAGGCCGGGTTGGAAGGAAATCTTGCTTGCTTGCCCTGTAGGTAGGCTTGAATTCACGGTGCCATTCGACAGGCTGAGTTGGTCCCCTGCAAAGTGTGTGCAAGCAGTGCCTGATTTGGTCATGTACTCGCGGCTGGTGGCAATCGACAGGCAGTGCTCTGGACCCCTTGGGTTCATCAAGGGAGGACGGGAATGAAAGTGAACATTGGTACATGGCTGAGTCGCAGCAGCATGCCCCGGCTGCGGTTTGCTAGTAGAACAGAGTGAGGCTCAGAAGATTCGTGCACTCACATGAGAGCGCTTGCAATGCGCCTTCAAATGTGAGTGTATCGCTAGTGACGCCTTGCAGCCAAGTCAACGGTGGTCCTTGCGCTGCTCTGCAGGATGTACACACGCACGGAGTCCACGGTCATCGCCGTGGACGCGAAGCAGTGGCGGCCTTGTGCGGCAAGTCGAATCGACACTTACAACCTGAAGCCCTTGCACAGGATGCTCTGTACAGTTTGGGGGGACAGATGAGTAGACAGGGTGCTCGCTTGGAGTGCTTCCAACTGGAAGATGTTTTGAAATTCTTTCAGGGGCTCTTGGTCAGGTTCCACGATGTTGCTCAGTCTTTCAGCGCGGACATGGAGCTCTTGAAGTCACTTTGCTGCGGTCAGATGCCGTTGCTGTTTAATTGGGGATTGTATGAAGCCACAGTGCGTTTTGGGTTCGACCCAAATGTTCGCTTCGGTTGCAGGGTGGTAGATGAGGCTCCTTGCGTCTACTTGCTTCCCTGGCTTCTTTCCAAACTCAGCACAGGGCTTACGGCCGGGAGTTCGTGTTCTCCATGAACGAAGTGGCTGGCAACTTCACGCCCGAGGAGGAGGATCCCTTCAAACGGCTCAATTTCACAGAGCTGGCTGAACGTTTCCACACTGCTGTGCAGGATGACGAGGAGCTTTCAGACTTGTTCCATTCCGAAAAGGCCATCCAAGTTCTCCCAGGCAAGAGAGCTTTTGAGGCCGGGCGGCTTCGTGTCGTCCCCGACGTTGCTGTTCTGCCGTTCTGTACTACTTGCTGCATACAGCGATACATACAGCGGTGTCACTTTTTTCCAACAGCCAATGTTTCACATTCATCGGAAAGATGCGTCCTCTGCAACCCTCTGCCCCCAATAAGCAACGTGCCGGCATGGCTGACGGCCAGCCTGCGCTTGGAAGGTCCAAGGTCCTAGTGAAAGCTCCCAGAGTAATGTAGAGATCCTTCTCATGACCGCCCAACAACCTTTGAAGAGGTGAACATGGGTGGGTTTCTGAAAAGCGACTTCCTGTTGCGTGCGTTATGATCTGGCCGGCCGTCCTTGTGTGCATGTTGCCCTCCGGCAGAACTGCGCAAGCCCTCGTCAGGAGAGCAGTTACGCCATCTCAGCCAACTCTTATCTCCAAGGCCTCCAAGGGTTCAATGTCGTTCGTCGCGAGCTCGGCTTCTCCAGTTCTTAGCAGCCGCCCTGCGAGAGTTTTGACCGTATGCAGCGGCACTGGAGCGTCGATTGCAGCAGAGTGTCCTGTAACATGAAACATCATGAAACCGGAGCCAACAACTCTAGCTTGACCCAGGACGAACTCGGGTGTCCCCAGTCCTGAGGCAACCTGATATCGCCCACAAGCAGCCCAACCTTGGGATCGAAGCTTGCGCCGGAGGACCATGCATACAGCAGCAGAAATCTGTACATGTCCGCACGTGTGTTGATCTTGTTTTGGTGCGTCATGCTCCCGGATGGTTACTGCAATGTCATGGACCGGGCGACAGCTTTCAACTTTGCAGCGCAGGACGTCCAGGACGACGACTCCCAGATGCCTGACATTCTCGCAGGGGTCTTGGACCTCTGAGCCTGTTGGATATTTTCGTGCCACCACAAACCAGTCCTATGGGGCAGAGGTCGATGTCTTAGGTTTCGTTAGCACCCAAGTTGCAGTTGCCTGCGCCAGGACAGCAACGAGGCAGAGGTCGAAAGCCGCAAGTCCGAGATTGTTGGAAGCTCGGAACACAAAACCTAAACGCACGCCGCATGTCATGTGTTGTGCCCCAGAGTATGAGTACTGTGAGAGTGGTATCACTTGCAGGTCGGGGAGAGATGCTAAGCACGCTGCTAATGCCCTCTGCCGGCGCCTTACATACCGGTAGAGGAAGAAGGTGGGCGCTTGACTCGCATAGGTAGTTTCAAAGTCCGTACGGTGTTGGACGACTTCACTATATGTGGCGGTGCATTGCAGGTCATGCCCGTCTCTCCGAAAATGATTTTCGCAGAACGTTGCACGCAGCATTGCGCATCGACGCGCAACGTTGCGAGTTGACGCAGCAAAGACTGTTGATGATACACGCCAGGCAGCTCTTTTACAAGCCCACAGAAAGTGCGGCACAGCCAGCTGCCAGCTGCACATCTCACTCTGTTTGGACAAGTTCTTCCCGATGTTGTTTCTGTGTGATGTGCATTTTGGTACAACGGTTTGTCCACGAACGCCAAAGGCGTCTTGGCTATGATAATGGGTCGCGCCAGCTACCGAACAGGTAGCGGCCTGTTTTGATAATGTGCCGAAAGTATCGCGTTGCCTTGCTTCTCATGCCTGTGGACCGTATGCGTTTGAACATGCTTGAACCCTGGCCCTAAACCGTAAAGTCAAGCCGGAACCTCCGTAGGATGCGTAGCCGCCACCCAAGTCCTTCGACCTGCAACGATCTTCTCACGAATCCCCACATCCCCACGGGATGAAAGACGGAAGTGGCTGTAGCGAAGCCCCTGCCGCTTGCCAATCGCGCGTTACGGCCTTCATGTCAATCTTAGTTTCGGAGCTACATCGGCAGTTTCAGAGTTGTGCAAAACCAGCTTCGAGATATCGACCCCTCTTGCTTGCGGATGCAGTCCTAGACTTCAATCTTATTTTCAGCAGCTCAGAAGCTTAATCGGCGAGTCATGAAGTTCGCCATGAACTGTCCTGCACCCGGCTCGAGCCTGAAATCGGGGCTTAGTTGTTGCTGCCATGTTTCTGCCGTTTGCCGTCGTGGTTTGGCTGCCGGCTCTCGGAGTAGTCGCCGGCCAATCCCAAACATGTGCCGAAGAAGACTCGCAAGGTTATGGCAACGAGAAGACTAACCGCGAGGAGGACCATGACCAAGAGACTGCGGCTTTGCTGCACCTGAAAAGTGGCAAAAGTGGAACCATGGGGGGCCCAGTGATGCCGTCCACGTGTGAACGTTCCAATGTGAGCGTGTACCTCGATCATTTGGAGCATGGAGGTGATGACTGCTGGTGGGCTTGCGGAGAGCGAGGTGGTTTTTGTGAGTACTGCGGCGGTCATTTGTGCTGTGCTCCGAACGGTGAAAGCGACACAGGGTGCCACCAAGAGATTTGTGCGCAGACATCCGATTGGGACACCAACAATCCGTTCTCACGCAGACGCCATCATTTTTGTGGCCGCTTTGAGCCCACAGCACCAAACTTGACATCGGAGGAGGCATTGATTGAGTTGCCCCAAGTGACCACCCAGACAGATGAAAGTGCGAGGCAGACCCGCTTCCGCCTGCTCAGTGCTTTGAAGGGTCGTCACTTCACTGGGGCGATTGCAAGCTTAGTCAGGTGGTTTGACTTCATCCCTGCCGTGAACGGATATGTTGCGCAGTTTCGGCTTCCGATCGGAGACTACCAGGCGAAGAGCTGCGATTTGACTGGAATTCTGGCTATCCTTGGACAAGCGAGCCACCTTGATATGGTTGGTGCTGGCTACTCATACTACATTGCGAAGTCAAGCCCAAGACACCCTAGTGTCAACATGGGTGGCTGCAAATGCATTTCTTATAGCAACGATACACTGACAGCTTGTGCAGGCGATGTCCTTGCGGAAGCAATACCAGTGTTGGAGTCTGCAGGCAAGATGTTGATAAGCCACGGTGAATACCACTACTTGTCTTTCGGCGGAATGATCGCAACTTTCAACCATGGAAGCAGTGACAGTAACAACAGCATCGTCGATGGAATCAACTGGATGGAGTTCTATGATTTGAGCTCCAAAACTTTTCGCATGTTATCAAATCTGACTCTCATCAAGCAGGTCATTGCCAGTCGATCTTTTATTATGACCCGAGCCAACTTCCGGACAGTGCCAGATGAATATGTGATCACAGTCACTCGCCAGATTCGAGGAAAGGAGGTCATGGATCAAGATTTCCTGCAGTCCCTCGACACCGTGCAGTTCGTGTCCGCTGTCCAAAGATTTCAGACAGATGGCTCGTATGTAATGGAGGTTTTTGGAGCTAGTCCGCTTGCAACTGCCCAGCTCCAAGTCCTCTACAAGAAGTCATTCTCTCCGCACGTTTGCGCCCAAGACTACCGCGAGTGTCGCTTTGTGGATTTCTTTCTCGGAGGTGATGACGCAGATGACTCCGAGGGCATCTTCGGCTACTCTTTCGATTTGAATGGTCATGTGGTAAAATCAATCGTCGTTCAAGCCTGGTGGGATGTCAAGGACGCGTTCGGCACTCGCTTTTTTGGAGCACATTTCCCGTCCCTAGTGGCAAACGCTCGCTCATATCAGTTTGAGCTCTGCGTGAGGGGCTACAATTTAACAGCCATGATCAATTTCTATCACACGAGTTATCAAGGCTGGGCTGAAGACCAACGGCTCAAACACGCGGCAAACTTTCGACGCGGCCGTTGCGACTCCTCGGACTCCTTGGAGTGTTGGACTTGGATCGAAATTGACATCCTGGGACAGTACCACGAGGCTGTCCTGCTTTGGAACCGTGTCATAGGCCTGTTCAACAATACGGAAACTTACGTACACCGTGGCAAAGAACGTTTGGGAGAAGGACCCGCAAATGAAGTACTTCATGTTTGACAGACTGCAGCAGAGATGATGCAAAACGAGATCATGAGTGGCTGCAAGCCCCTCAGAATCAGCTTGGTCAAAGAACCAGGCAGAAGATGCCGCGAACCTGTCGATCGTGGTGGCCCAATGATGGAAAAGTCACCCTGCCGACCCTAAGGCCCTGGCCCGAAACGATCCGAAGCTCGTACGCCTGGCTCATCCACGACCCATGTACCAATATGCTCAGGTCCTTGAGCCCCATTGCTATATCTTCGGCATGAAACAACAGAACCCGGTGAAATGAGCGGTGTACGGGTGTTAGGCAAGGCTTGCAGTCTTGAGCTGTCAGACACATGCATGCAGTTTCTGTAGTCTACAACTGTACCGGCAGAAGTCTAGGTGCGGTCCGGCTACACACTCTGAGCTCGCAACACCGCAGCCACTTGGACACAGTGTGGTTAGGTCCTTCCTCGCGGCCGTACGAGCTGCGAAGCAAAGGGCCAGAATGTACCACCGAGTCTTGCTGTGGCTGTGGCCTTGTGTGCTGGCTAGGGCCGCCACAGAAGGCGACCTCGTCTCAGCTGTGCAGAGTGGCAATGTGAGCGAGGTACAGGTGCTGGTCGGGCAGTTAGACATCAGTAGCATAAGCTGGGCTGTGTCCTACTACGAACAAGATCACCGCTCGTGGACTCTGCTGCATGATGCAGCCCGCTATGGCCATACCCAGGTACTGCATCTTCTGCTGGAGACATGGCCAGAAGGCATTGATAGCACCAGCGACAATGGCTGGAAGCCTGTGCATGTGGCTGCAATGAGCGGGCAGGTGGAAGCATTCTCGCTGCTGGTGGAGGCATGGTCCCAGGAAGGTCGCATTGCCAGGATTCAGGACCTGATCTTCTGGCCATCCGTCGATTGCCAGCTGCTGGTGAAGTTTGGATGCGATCCTCAAAACCTCCCTGTACTCGACGAAGCGGCGAGGGACCTTGATTGCCGCAATCCTCACCAGTTGACTAACCACTCCCTGGAGATGTGGCTCAATGGCTGCGGGGGTGATATTCGCTGGCATGACTTTGCGGGCACTCCACTCTTGGACCTCCTTGAGGACGAGGATGCGCGGAAATTCTGGCGAGAGCATGCGACTCTGCAAGCGAGCATGCTGAACACCATGGGAGACTGGCACGCCTGGGTGATTCCTGGACTTGCAGCTCTGACGGCATACATGTCGGTACTCCTGGAGAGAAAGTTCCTGCAGAGGTGCTGCGGGAAAAGCAAAAGCCAACAAGCCCAAACAGATAACGAACAAGACCCCTTTCTGGCTGGTGCCAAGCTCTTGGTGAGCCAGGCTTTCAGTAGGTTCACGCTGTCCGTGAAGCTGTGGCGCTGGCTAGAAGTCTGCGTTGGGATTTTTTGGCTGGGGCTCGTGCTGCTGATCGCGCACTGGGCATGGTGGTTACCTCTAGTTGGGGTTCTCTACGTGGCCCCTGCAATCAAACTGCACGGCGCCCGGGAGTTATTTCAGTCTCCGACCCTGGCAATAGTGTCAAGAAGCTTCGGAGGCCAAGTTGCCGCCCTCATCCGCACCACGGCTCTCTTCGGCATCTTCTGCTTCCTCTACGGTGGCCTCTACTGGGAAATGGTGATCCCTGACTCAGTCATATCCACTTTCTCGTGGATGCTTGACCCCACGGTGCGAGGGTGGGAGGACCGGAAAGTGCGCTTACTGGAAAACAGTAAGCTGAATGAGCACTGGCTGTTCCCCTGGGCACCCCCAATCACTGCGCTTGAAATATTCCGTGCAGTGAGAGACGTTTGCATCGCTCTGGTAGTTGTATACTTTGTCTCTCTGCTCTGCATGGTGCTATACAAAACTTTCCGGCGCTGTTGTGGAGGCGTTACTTCTTCGACACCCTCCCGTCATGAGCTTGAGGATGCTGTACGACAAGTTCTGCAGAAGCCACCAGAAGAGTTCGGCGAAGTTCACAAGGGCATCAAGCCGACGACGGCTTGCTCCTTGTATCAGAGTGTTGCAATGCAGTTGCTGGACATCGCTTTTGATTTCAACACTGTGTTGAGTTTCCTCTTGGGTCGGAACTACGTCTTCGCCGCCGTTATGACCTTCTTCGTGGTGCGCAGCATCACCAAGCAATTCTATGTCCTCCCTTTTTGTCACTTCCGGGAGGCCGCGTTCCACGAAGATGTCATAACAGATATGGTTTCGTGTGTCGATGTTAATTACTACAAGTAAGTTTGCACAAAGCCTGATGCACCGAAAAAGTCTAAAGAAAGCATCAGAAAGCCATGCAAACCAAGCCTGCGGACCATGAAAGTGCGCAGAAAACAGAAAGCCTCCCCAAACCATGCAAGCCAGGCCTGAGGCATCGCAAAATTCTGACAAACTCTGCCCAAATCACCGCCAGCCACGCCTCAAGCCCATTCAAACGATGAGTTTAAAGCTTCCAAAAACCCTGCCAACCAAGCCTGAGGCTGCCTGAAATCCAGCGAGAAGCCTCACGAAGCCAAGGTAATTCTTGCAAGCAAGCATGAGCCAAATGAGTTGATTAAACTGACAATTGGGGTTGGATAACAACAACCCCGTGCCTCAGTGATTGGTCTTGGCATGTCCCCTCCTTCGCTTTCAAATCATTTTCTGTAGAAGTACGATGACAAGGAAACAGGATAACGCGATAATGGGCCACAACTATGGCGAAACCCAGATAGGAGCCAAAACCCAAAATGATGCATTTCAGGATGTAAAGTTGTACTACAATCCAGCCACGACCCCAAACCAGGCATTTCCAGTACAAAAGTTGTGCTACGGTTGATGCCCAAAATCCTGCATGACTTTGAACATCCCCACGGCTCCCCTGCCACCCCTAATTTAGAAATTGCATTGATGCAGGGATCAAAACCAAGGCCTGTGCGAATGCCCAAAATCCTGCATGACCCCATGGTGGTGCAACGTTGAAATTAAGGGGTTGCGGGGCAAAGGACAGTGCGACGTGAGCTATGTGCGATGACCTAGGTCATGCAGGATTGTGGGCATCAACAGCACGGGTTTTGAGCTGCGGCAATGTCTAATGCACAGTCATCTTGATTTTGAGCGGCAGCAATGTGTAGTGCACCGTCATCTTGGTGGAACACAAATCGAAGAGTCCATACCTCAACCTCTCGTTTTGCATGTGCTGCTCAGCAGCATCATTCCGAGGTCCACACTGTTTGGCAGCTTGTATTGTTTTGTGACAACAATAATAAAAATGCAGAATAGCTTGGTGCAGCACAAAATCCAGGATGATTGAGGTCATGGACATTGAAGGCAAGTTTGCACTTGACGTCAACCTCATGTCAGGGCATGACGATCGCTTTCTGCGGGGTTGAGCGTTTTTTGTCGGCCCTAGCCATTAATTACATCGTTTTGGGTTATACAGCTGCGTTTTCTGTGGAAAAAAAGCCCATTTACCTTACAGACCTCATCTCTCGCCATGGAGGAGCGTTTTGTGCGGGACATTCCTATTTGCAAACTCATTTTGCTTCTTGGAGGGGCGTTTTCTGTGGGAAATTCCTCTTTACAAATTCAATTGGAGCGTTTCGTGTGGGAAATTCCTCAATACACTCAATTGGAGCGTTTCGTGTTGGAAATTCCTGTTCACAAACTCAATTGGAGCGTTTCGTGTGGGAAATTCTTATTAGCAAACTCAATTCGCTGAGTTTTCCTATTCACAAACTGTTTACAAACCTATTCACAAACCTCACGTTAAACGTAAAATACATTTTGCAGGCGTGAGCCTTGAAAATTGAGAGTTGTTTCAGGGATGGATTTCTGACCACGGATCGCCCGCATGAAAAATCCATTTTACCTTGAAAGTGAGGTTTGTAAATAGTTTGTAAATAGGAAAATGCAGCCAATTGAGTTTGTAAATAGGAATTTCCCACGCAAAATGCTCTTCCGAGCAGCAAATTCAAGGCATTTCCCACACAAAACGCTCTTCCAAGCAGCAACTTGAGATTGTAACTGAGAATTCCGATACAAAACACTCCTCCATGGCTCGAGATGAGGTCTGTAAATGGGGATCTTCCACAGGTAGACCAAAATAGTCTTTTTGGACGGTTGATGCCCAGAATCCTGCATGAGTTTGAACATCCCCACGGCTCCCCTCCCACCCCTAATTTAGAAATTGCATTGATGCAGGGATCAAAACCAAGGCCTGTGCGAATGCCCAAAATCCTGCATGACCCCATGGTGGTGCAACGTTGAAATTAAGGGGTTGCGCGGCAAAGGACAGTGCGACGTGAGCTATGTGCGATGACCTAGGTCATGCAGGATTAGGACCAGGCGCCAGGAGCGAAAACCGAGGCACTGTATCAAAGTTGTATCAACATCCATAGTGGTGGTTTTGAATTGGTAAAACGCTGTCGAGAACAAACGACGACCCAATTTTGGCATAGGGAATTCTATACGGGTTTGTTTGTTTGTTTGAAACTGGGAAGAAAGTGATTGAAGGGGTGAAGTGGCTCGCTTCTGAGTCCGTTCCTGTGGACAGGCGCTCAGGGAGAGCGTGCGTCGAGGCATACCGCGACAGGACGTTTTGGACTTCTTGGAAGATGCCTGGCCTGTTTCTTTAATGCTGTGCCCTTAACATGCCGCACCAAGGTTCGGATTGTGTAGGACCTGAACTTTGACAAGCCCTGAATGCAAACTCCAGTGGAAGAGACAGGCCCGCCAAGAGCAACCAGAGGCGACAGCAAGATTGTTCGTCATGTCCAAACATGTAAGCACTGTCGTCTACAAAGTGTAAATAGCCACCGGCGAGCTCTTTCACATCCGATCCCGCTTTCCAGAAGTGTGTAAAACTTAGTTTCAACCAATCCTTGTTGGTATAGAGCCGTTTTTATCTCGAAAGTCCCTACGCTCTCCCGGATCCACCAAAGTGGTGGACAATAAGGATCGCATGCGTGCTTTGGAGTCTTTGCATTCACGGCAACCTTTGAAATAATGGGTGCACTAAGTTTGCGGGCTCCGTTTGGACACCCATTTCATGGAAAGTCGGCCGTTGCTTAGGAGGAGAAGCGTTCAGAAGCTCTGTTTTGCGCCTGCATCACTGCCTATTCGGTTTTTTTCTCCGTGCATACCGCGGGGCAGATGCTGACTCAGTACTGCAGCCTGGTGTCAAGCACATGGCAGCTCAGAGGCCACTCAAGCTGAAGCAGCATTTGGCTCGGATGGTTTGGAGTCTAGGTTTTGTTGGCATTGTGGGCTGTGTGGTTCCTGGGGCCTCTACCCCCCTGCAGGCCATGCAGCTGAACTGTGCAACATGGACTTCCCTGTGGATGAGGCCGCAGCCGTGGCGAGTCCAGCTCCACACCATGCTATGAACAGCGATGTCAGCGACGACAGCGACATGAAACATGCAGCTTTGTGTTCAAAAGCAAGTCCTGGCTTCCATTAGTAGGCATGAAATCGTTGTTCGGCTTTCCATTCCTGCCTGAGGAAGGAAAGGACGTGTCGGAGGACGACCTGCGAGTGGAAATCAACCTGGATGCCAGTTATCGGTCAGCCAACGAGGAGAACCCCGTGAGTGCAGCGAACAAGTCAGTGTGCGACGATGCCACGGCTGAAGCTGGGCACTCTGCTACATTGGCTTCTGCTGCGCTTCCGGGAGATTCAGCAGTTTAGGGTTTAGGTTTGGGGCAGCTGTACAGGCTTCCTCATTCCAGAATTCGTGCAAAATTTCGAATCATAATTTGCCTATTGCGCGAAAGAGCTGCAGACTCTCCCATTCAATGACGACAATGTGCAGATTGCCACACGGAATGCTGATTTCTCACGGGCTGATTGCAGTAGTTCTGACGGCATAATTGGCATAATGTGCATCCACGCCTCATGTACAGCAAAGCAACGATAAAAGGCTACGCGAGCTACAAATATGTCATCGAGGTGAAAGGAGCATCTGGAGCGAACTCGCAGTTTTTTTCACGAGCCCGAGCAGGCAACTGGTGCTTTTTCACCTGAGGTGTCGAAGCACTGGGTGACCATGTCGCACCAAGGTTTATCCCGCAAAAAACGGATTGGTGCTTGTGAAGAGGACCACAAACAGACTTTGTTTCGTTTTAAACATGAGTCAGCTGGCTCTGCCAAAGCGGAAAAACCAGGGCCTAAGCTTTGTTTTGAGCGGCCGACAGGTTGAAATCATGAGTATCTGGTGCCCCTATGCAGAGCCAGAATTGTGCAAATCAGGTCAGAATGCATCATGGAAAGCCTGATCCAGAACGCATAATATGCTCAAGCAGTTCACGACGGCTTCTCGAAACCCTGAAACCCGTAGTCCGATATCCATGTGGCGTAGTGCCTTGGAAAGTCCCCGGAGAGAAAATCAGATTCCCTTGCAGAGACGTGTAGAGAAGGGAATCAGAATCAATAAGACATATCAGACAAGTCATTCAGGGACTCATCGACACCGACAGCAGTTCAAAATTCTGCACAAGTCCTCGTTTCGGCCATGTCTTGACAGCAATGGCGATTTATGTCGAGGCCTTGGCTTAAGAAGGGGCTGCTATTTGCAGGAAATTTGCCGCACGAAGGGTGGACAAGAGACCTGACGAGTCGCCTGAGCTGTGCCCGCTAACTTCCAAGGATGGAAGCTCATACAATGGATTGAGCGCTGCGCCCGAAACTAAGCTGAAGCCTGTTCAAGTGCCCACATTGCAAGTCTTGAATGGCGACAATCGGTTTGTACAAGGGGGTCATCATCATCATTATCATCGTTGTCATGTGTACATATCTCATACCATCTATACATATATGTATACCATAAATACACATATGTGTGTATGTATTAACGGTGTCTGCCTGTCTGTCCGTCTGTGTGTAGATACAGATAGACAATGGGCGTCTGTCGACTACTGCGCTCTGCTCAGGTTCCGCAGACGGCTTCAGAAGCAAGAGGCAACAGAGCACAGGTCTTAGTGTTGGCATTGAGTTGAACTCGGTGTGCCGTGGGCGTCGTTGCACAAGGGGCAACAACACAGCAAACTTAGCTCATGGCCATTGCGATGGCATTGGCTTGCACCATTGGCGCATTCAGCGTACTCTCTCCTAGGGAAACGACGGAACATGGTTTGAGTGAACATGGCGTCAGACATTCGCTGCAATCTGATCATAGGATGTAAATCTGCGAATAGTTGATAGTATCGCAGCAATCGCAGGTGTAGTGTTTGGCCAGAGAACAGCTTCGAAAACCAGCATCAAATTCCGCACACTCTTCGCTGAGCAAGCTTGAATTGCTTTTTCGTGCATGGCCCCACGAGCCACTAGCTGCGCACGCGCTTACTGCGATGAGGCTCTTGCATGACTTCGTCATCGTGTTTGATAGTGTTATGGCCCGCCTGCAAGACGAGCGCAAGCTCTCCTGCAAGTCCACACTTCAACCCAGCAGCACCCCAGAGCCACGGCAGCGATTTCACATTCAACTCAAGTGATCTCCAGTGTTGGTGGACTTGCTCTCGTGTGGCATGGCTCAGTGAGGATACTTCGCCGAACAGACGGCACAACGCAGAGAATTTGGGCATGTTCCTCAGGGGTTGACACCATGGGTCGGGAATGCCAGACTGGCACAAGCTGGGGGTCAAGTTTCAACGGCACGCACCGCTGCGAGATGTGGCGTGGTATAGTTTGGGAGATCATGGACGTTTCAGACCATGCATAATAAGAATATGGTTTTGCAGTATTTTGTACTTATGCCATAGCTATACTTAGGAACCCCCAAAACAACGTACGTAGCATAATTTGTTGGCCGTCGCGCCCAAGGCCAAGGAGGGGCGCCCCTCTTACCAGGCAAAACCGGATCCGGAAAAGAGGCGGGACAACTGTTTGTTATGTCTGTTGCTGGCAGTAGCTGTCAACTGCAACTGAGCGCTGCTGTCCTTTGTTGAATAAAGTTGGGTTCTGTACGTGACGTTCCAGAGCAGTGCAGGGCTTGAGAAACACTCGTGTTTTCTGAAATGCCTTACCTTGGTCACGCTTGTGAAAGATCTTGGGCAGGCTGATTGACGAAGCTGCTGTTGAAGTGGCCAAGCAGAAGGAGTTTCTGCCTGCTTTCTCCGTTGTGAGCTTAGCTCGCAGCTGCGGGGACTAACTGGATCGCTGCTCCACCACTCCTGACGACACTATTGATCAAGTGCATCGATCTTAGTCTTCGCAGAAGGTATTGAAGCCGTCGTTGTGCTTTGTGTTTGTTCGCTCACTACCCTGTCAAGCTCGTGCTGTTCAGGTCAGGATCTTGGCGGCGCTCTCAGCTGCCATGCCTTCCATTGCAATTGCACACTCAGTGAAGTTCAACTGGAGCTCATGTGTCGACAGCAATCCACACGTTGCCAAACCCTGGACGTCAGTTTCGTGAAGAAATGCTCTGTCTCGTGACATCTGAGTTTTGTGCGGGTCAGTTCGCTTACAAGCATTCTAGACATCATTTGCCCATTCCCGGAAGCCGCTGGAACGTCACGCAAGAATCGTTGTTTTGCATTCTGGTGAAGGAACGATCATTTTGCTAAGACGGATCCTTATGAGAGGATAAGAATCTACCTCAGACCTGCTGGTGTTCGCGGCATTCCCCATTGGTTGTGCTGTTGCAGCTTTATGCGATCAGCGTTTTTTAGAACTCTGGCGAATGACAACGAATAGCCCCTAAGAGTGATTCCCAGAAGAGAATGCAAATGCTACGCTTAGAAGCATTGCAATTCTTTGGTTGGTATAGGAGTTTCAGAAGAGACCGCGAACTTTAACTCGGCCCAGGGGTCGACATCGGACTTAACCATTGATGAGTCCACGGAGTTCGCAAAGCAGGCGTTGACTCATTTGCCCTTCATGGCTTATTGGATCTCATCTTCTAGCGGAAACACAAGTTCGATCTAGAAGTATCACGGGAACTGGGTGTGCATGCAGGAGCCATGGTTCAAGGTTTTGATTTAGGGCTTAAGGCTTAGAGGGTTTAGTGCGAACGGACTGCGATGCTTAGTCAACTTCTACGGTGTCACGATAAGAGCTGTGAGCGAGGTCATGTATAGGACAAGAGAGAAGGCACGCTACGCGTCCTTCGTCTCTAGGTTTAGGCTTGTGGAAGTGCTACGCACGCCGCAATGCCGAACTTTCCTGTATGCTTTCCGCCCACGCAACTTTGGCTCAAGTGTGAGCACATGCCCTAGAAAGCATTGCCCATAGCTAAAAACTATTCGTCTTCTGTGACCTTCCGAGGGACAGAGCCATCCCGTGCACAGACGATCCATCGCTGGCCGCGAGAGTGCAAAACAAGTGAGCTCTGGATCTGCCTGCAAGGGAAGTGTGGCTTACGTGGGAGAAAGGGAAAGAGAGAGCGGCTGAGTTCGTAGAGGGCAACCACGCCATTATTCAACATAGCTCTGTGGGGTGAGCAACAAGGGCAACATCAAGATCAAATCCCCACGCAGGTTATCAGCCGTACGCGGCTCTGCCTTTCTACAACGAGAACTACTTGATCTACCATTTCCACAATGAACTCGGGATCAAGTCAAGATACGACAATGACTTTCGGTGCCGACGTGGCAGCGCCGGCAGTCGGTGATTCGACTGCTGATGACACAGTGGTGCAATCCATTGATAGTTCCACGGAGGATGACAAAGGTCAGCCTTCAGCGCTCGCCATCGCAAAGGCAGTTCCCAAAGCAAAAGCGAAGAACTCACCAAGAGCATCTACGCCGCCACGTCCAACATCCTCAGGATCAAGGACTGGCAAAGCTACAGAACGACGATCTGAAGCATCTGGTTTTCAGGTGCCAAGGACTCCGTCAAGAACAAAGGACAGAGGAGTGATAACATTGGAGAAGAAGTCTAAGCCAGCGCCTTCAAGGAGCTCTTCAGCACGATCTAGAACGTCAGCTACCAGAGGACGGGACAGGTCCATGACATGGAGGAAGATGGTCACCAACCATCCCCATGAAGCCGACGATGCAGATATGACCCTTGATACCATACCGGTGCAAGGTGACGCTTCATCGGCTGCCACCCCGGCCATAGCCGACGGGTCGAGCATCTATCAGGAGATGCGACAGCAACTCGAGGCTTCGAGTCTTGCTCAGCAGATGTACTACAGAAGCCAAGTGCAAGAGTATGAGGGTGTCGTGCAGACCCTGATGGAAAAGATCGAGGAGATGCAACAAGAAGATGAGGGATCTGGACTTCGCATCGAAGAATTGGAACGACAGCGTGATCACGCATGCTTGGCCATGCGGCATATCAACAACGTCAATCAGGAGATGAAACTAGACTATGAAGCAGCGTTGTTCCGAATGGATGAACAGCACTCTGCTCAACAGCGTCGAGGACATGCGGTTGCCGAAGAACTCGCTCAACAGCTTCACATGTTTCGAACAGAAGCAGCTACGAACTTTGTGCAGCTGGAAAGTCGAGCCCAAGGCGACGGAGAACTCATGGCGCGCGAGTATGAGCATCTGACACATGAGCTTCATGAGCAAGCCAGGGAGAACTTATTCCTCCGATCGAGCAAGGCAAGTTCTGAACAAGCCATGCATGCCATGCAGGAACGATTCCTTCTCGCCAGGAACCAGGAGTTGCGATCATGAACGATATTCAAGGATTGGCTGGAAGCAATACAGCACTCAATCAAGAACGTCTTCGACTTCGTGAACGGCTCGGTGAAGAGGAAGAGTATCGTAAAATGGCAGTGAAGAGGATGCAAGATGCAGAAGATCAGCTTCAGCAGAATGAAGATCACGCGAGGCAGGCATTGCCGACCTTGCACGACGAGCTGAACGAACTCAGACGAGCGCTCAGAACACAGGAAGATCTTCAGTCAAGGACGCGCAGCGAACTGGAGGCGGCGCGGATTTCCAACATGAGTGCTGGGTCAGTCCGACCTCCGAGTATGCCCATGTCTTCAAGGACTACTGAGTCTGGCTGGGAACATGTAGGAAAGGATGTAGTACCGTCATTTTCCATAGGAGGTGAGGTACGATCCCCTGAAATACGATCCCCTAGTCAGGTTAGTCCAGTCGCCAGAGGAAAGTTCGCCGGCAACCTGAAGGGAGAGGTCGATCCATCTCATGGAACAGCGCCAATCGTAGCGGATTCGGTACCCGTGCACAACGTGCCTTGTGCCAACAATCCAGCACTTGAGCGTTCCGCGCCTAGTGCAGCTGAACTCTTTGGCATCCCGGCTACGCCGAATGCCGCTGAGTTGTTTGGCATCCCGGCCACACCGAGCGCTGCCGAATTGTTCGGTGTTCCAGGTGGACGTAACCGAGGGCGAAGTGATGCGGCAGCCGTGCGCGATCAACAACTTCATGAACTTCTGAAAGATCGCGGGATGCTGGGGTCGAATCCCACAGCGTCTGCCAGCTCTTCCAGACCTGTTGACCTCGACGGTGTGATCGCATCGATAAAAGGCCTAAATTCCAATGTTGCCAAAGGGCCAGCACCTGTGGCTATCGATACATCGTTTCAAGATGCGAGAAGACGTCAGATCGAGAAGGAGGTTGCAGAGCAGTATGAGGAGAAGATCGCTGAGTTGCGAAGCGAAGTCCTCAAAGCTCAGAAAGCCGAGCAACGTCTCCGTGCTGACCGTGATGAGTGGAAACTTGTCACCGAAGCAATGCAAGAAGGTGAAGGAGATGGTGACGGCGACGAAGCAGATGATGTACATGAAGATGGAGGGCAAGAGGAAGACGCCGGAGAAGGGATTGATCCGCCAGATCCGCGTAATCCGGATGATGATGATGACAAGAAGAAGAAAGGCGGAGGAAAACCTGATCCGGATCCTCCTGATGCGCATGATCCTGATGGAGACGCAGATCCTGAAGTTACAGAGGCTACTGACAGAGGTAAGGATTTCCAGGAGAGAGGCCGACAAGGTGACGGTACCTCCTTGGCCAACACTTACTCATCTGAACAATTGGCGATCCGTATGCACTGCGAATGTTCTCGGAGCGTCAGCTGACCCCAACCACGAAGATTGGATGTTATGGCTGGCACCAGCTTTCAATCCATTCCCTGACGTTGAAGCTTTGAACGATTCCGGACACAAGAAGTTCAAAAGCATTGATGTCAAGTTGGGTGTCGCCATGGTTGCAATGTTGCGTGCTGGTGGCGACAAGTCCGCTGACTTGTATCTGGAAGTGAACCGGAAGGCCAACGACTACATCAGTCAGCCATTAGGCAAGATCATCAAAGGGCGACAAATCATCGCGATGATGTATGAAAGTTTCCGGACACATGATCGGCTTGACATGATCATCACGCTTGATTACTTAGTGAAGCTCCAGTACCAAGGTGACAACAAGCTCCATACGTTCAAGCAGACGTGGTTGGAAGTCCTTGGGCGGATGAGGCCAGAGGACATACCATCCAAGACAGCTCTTCGAGATTGCTTGTACAGCAAGATCAAGGATTCGCCCGCGATGAAGATAGATTTGGGTATGCATTATGATCACCTACCCTACAACCATGAGGATCGGTCTTATGACAACCTCATCAAGATCATTGATCGAACCATTATGCGGCGACGTGAACAAGCAAATCTCACTCAGACACAAATCGGTTTGCGCCAAATGCTGGAAGGCAAAGACATGCTTGCTGCGCCGGCCAAGGTGCCTGACAAGACGCCGCCCAAGGGAGCGCCATCCCCTAAGGTGAAAGCGGCTCCTACCAAGCCCGACAACGCAGCTCCTGTACTTCCTCAGAGCAAGGCCAAGAGCCATGCAAAGGTCAAGCCGAAGCCCAAGAAGAAGACAAGAAGTGAGTCAGCGGATAACAAGGGTGACAAGAGCAAGAAACACATCCGCTGCAAGTGCCCATTTCACAGATGCTGGATGTCGGAATGGTGACAAGTGCCGCTTCAAGTGCCCATTCAGTCATTCCAAGAAGACTCCAGAAAGACCGCTCACTCCGAGGTCGAGAACTCCAAGTCCATCCGGAGGGGGAAATCGGATATGCTATTCGTTCAAGAACACTGGTTCGTGCTCAAGGGAGAATTGTCCTTTCAAGCATGAAGCTGCCGCCACTCCGGCGCCAGAACCAAAGGCAAAGGCCAAAGCCAAGTCCGAAGCCAAGGCGACACCAGCCAAACCAAATGCAAAGGCCAAAGCACTCTCAGCAGCACCCGCCATCAGATTGTGTCGAAGGTGGAATCCATCAGCGCCAGCCATCTGGAAAAGATCCTCAAGGCAGAGTGATGAAGAGTCAGTTTGTTCATCCGTTGACAGCGACGCTGATTCGGATTGTTCGACTGATGATGAGTCACCGGGACCGACTACGTCGACCCGGAAATCTGTCAAGCTTAGTGTGACATTCGCAGAAGACGTGAAGTTCGTTTCCTCACGACCAAGAAAGTCAAACAAAGATAGGAGGCGAAAGGTAACGCCCGTCGATGTGGATGCAATCATCAACAACGAGGATCGGGCCGGGCCGTTGATTTGGAATTTGCCAAGCACAAGGCGAGGTTGAGAGCACAGATCATGAGGGACATGCTTGATGATGATCGTGAAGGTGATAGAGTTTCGTTCGTACGGATCCCAGGAACCTCTCGGGTGGAAGAAGTTTCATTCTATGACGGTGAGGATTCCATTGTTGAACGGGAACTCGATGCTGCACACAGCAAACGGATCATCGACCAAGGAGTGTTCAAGTGCATGGTACAGCCGGTCATTCTCAAGAAGAAGATCAAGTTCCTGATGGACACCGGTTGTGGGCATGACCTCATATCCCAGAAGAAGATCGAGAAGCATACCCTCGAGACACTAGTGACTCCGGAGCCCATTTCATTTCAGACCGCGAATGGAATAACCGACACTGGT